TCAAAAGCGCGCACAACCTGCTGCACATGTCCCTTACCATTCAGGTCCCCGACCGGCCTTCTACTCCTTATTTCAAATTCTTGCTTCTCATTCTCCGGACTGGACTCCGTCGAGGCGCCCAAATGGGGGTCATCGAACCGCTGATTGGCAGCCACTCGCACCGGGGAAGGATCCACCGCCGCCACCTCTTTCACCGGGATATCTACCCATGGCCCCGTCTCATAAAACGGAAAGGCCAATCCCTGCTTCTCCTCAGCAAAACCAGCCGCTTTCCTCAGCCTGCTTTTGTACTTGCTGGCTGCTCCGCCTTTCCGCTGCACCACGCACCGTTCATCTTTATTTTGCGTTGGGAGCCCACAAGGGGAACTTGGACACCCACCTCAGCCGTCGCACCCGATCCGCCTTCCTGTCCCGCTAGAGTCTCCTCTCCCAGCCGGCCACTACCCACCAGAGAGGCAAATAGCGGCTCGCCATCGTCCTCCGACTCGTCCTCCAGCAGCAGCCGGCGTCACCGAGAAACAGCAAGTCGCTGGCCCAGCTCTTCCTCCCGCTCAAGACCCAGCTTCGACTTGGGCCCCGGTGTATCTTTCTTGCGGGCCTGGATACCCTCACCATTCTCCCGGGCCCGTTGCCCTTTCTTAACGCCGCCCATCCCATCTTCTTGACCGGGCTTTGTGAGCCCACGATTGGCTTTGCGGTCTTCCTTTGGGCCGAGTTCAGCATTTCTCTTCACTAGGTCCATTTTTTCTTTTCCTTTAGTCAGACGTGAGCTGTGTAGCCCCAAATTTAGTTTGGGCGAGCGGGTCACAGAGAAGCCCTTCGGATTTCGCCTGGGCGCTGGATCGCGCAAGTTGCCCTTCGGTTGCCTCTGCCCATCCACGACCGAGTCCTGGGCAAACTCATTCTGGTCCAATTCTTCCTTCGCAACAGCATCAGCCAATTTCTTTGCTTCTTCCTCCTTGCGAGGCAGCATTGGTTGGTGTCTATTCCCCTGAATATTGTTATTGACCCAAACGGTCTTTTTCATCCCAGGTAACGGGATGGAAATATCCTCTGCATCATATATTCGAGTCCCCAATTTCTTGGTCATCATATGGGGCTCAAATCGTTCCTTGCGAGATGGAGGATCAAAAGCACATTCGCGTTGAAAGTGTCCCACTCTCCCGCAATGGAAACAAATGGATGGGAGATGTTCATACTTCAATCGCATCCAAAAGCGTCCCGTTTCCTCACTAGCCGCCATTATTTGTGCTCGCAGGGGCCGAGAGAAATCAATCATCGCTTTGACCTTTAGGAAATAGGTCCATGTATCCTGACAGGAGTAGATCCCTGCCTCGAGGACTTGGCCAATGGTGGGATTCGCCACCTTCATTCCAAATTTTGCTGTACAGCAATCCTCCTGAACATCCCAGAGCTGCACCCGAAAAGGCGCCACAGCTAGCTCTTCGTAGGTCTGTCGAGTGACAGCCGGGGTCCATGATTTTAGATGGATGATCCTATCATTGATCACCCAAGGGGTCCTTTTCAACACCCACGTCTTGGATTCTTCATTAGGGAGAATGAATTCGAACAACCCATGGTATGCTTGCAACACTTTGATTCTCCCTTTGCATTTCCATGGCGAATTCACCGCCTCTCGAAGTTCAGCAGGTGTGACGCGAGCCGTTGTGAAGACCTGGCCAAGAATCGTGTGCGAGCTACGCACTTTCACGGACTCTTCATTGAGAGAGAAGGGAACTACTTGATCCTCACTGATCTGCGTGGCCATAGTGTCCTTCAAAGAAAAGCTCGGGTTAATATCCCTTAACGGCGCGCCACAGGGGCTAGCTTCCAGAGCCTCATGAGCGCACAACCTAGGTGTGGTGTATCCCTGCTTGAGGGTTACCCGTTCACAGGTAGCAAAATCCTCTTTAGGTGGGAAATCAATTAGGAGAGGGGGGATACCTGCGATAGGCGCCAGCTTCCAGAAGAAATCCCAGCTCTTCTTTCCACCGTCCCAACCTTCAAGTTCCACTGGTTTAGAGACGAGATGTGAAGGATTTAAATAGAGCTGTATTCCCAGGAATTGTATTTCCGTATGGTTTGTTTCCACACGGTTTCCCGACGGGTCACGCAATCTCGGATTCGGATACGTGATCAACTGATCAATATCCTCGTCCCTGCGCCCATCCAAATCCTCTCCCCTAACCGTTTTTTTGAATAAAATATTATTAACCAAAACCCATTTTGGTTGTTTGTTGCACCGGCGAATATTCCGGGAGATATTCCCCCCCTTTGTTCTCGTAAAATCTGGTAGTCTAGACTCCGAGAATCCCCAACCACTATCTCCCCGTTGGGGGGAGTTCCGCCGACCGCCACATTGCCGTCGAAAGAAATCCCACCAGACAGAAGCTGGGTGGGTCACCTCGTGAACAATACGATAAGAGGTTAAGGCTAGATCATTCACGATTTTCTCCGCCACTTGGCAGAGGTTTAGATCGTAGTCTAGGGACCCCCGCAGTACTGCCACACCAATGTCATGGGAACGTCTCCCCAATCCTGCGTTGGTTATGCTCGTCGGTGTACTCACCACCATGGGGACTGCACCGTCTTGGCCGTAATTCAGGGTATCTCTTATACCCAGGCCCTCCAATTCTTCCGGCGAAGGTAGCTTGAAACGCCATCCCTTCTTCTTCCAGACCATTCATCTTTTCTTTGTTTGGGAGTAGTTTATATCACACTCCAACATTTTTGTCACCAACTTCCTTTTCTGACCCCTACGCCGCGGCTGGGCACTTCTCCGTTGTTGCCAGAGCCCATATCCTGTTTCCGGCGCGGCGTGAGGAGATGAACACGAATCATCAAGCACCCTCTTTGCCTTCGGTTTCTCTGGAATCCATTGTTGTTGGCATTTGGTGATGAACTCCACAGCATACAGCTGGTTGCATAGACTCACAAACAGCATCCTCCTTCCCATCTTGAGAAGAGCACGGCCAAACCATCGGCAGATGTAGAGGAGAGAGGAGAGAGCACTCCTCCACATTTTTTTTTGCAAGATAAAATTTAGGTAATATTACATTCTTTAAGTTTTACTGTGCTCCAACGGTAAATAAAACGGAAAAACAAAATCACCCTGACACGTGGTGAATGCTAATAAGCTAATGTGGAACCAACTCCACTTACAAGTAAAACGACGACGCGTTCCGGACGAAGGCTCAAAACGTTTCCCATACAACGAATCGTCTTCGAGTCTGAAACGCGTTCTTCAGCTGTTCTTCATTTACAGTTCTGCTCTGCATCTTCGATTCCAATTCAGCTATGCATCAATGCTTCACCTTCATGAATCTCAGCTTCATCATCTTGACAGCCTCCCTCAAGCTGGAGTGTACTAACTCCAAGCTTGTCCAACAATTCTCGGATCCTGTATCTGCTTAGAGCTTTAGTAAATAGGTCTGCAACCTGGTCAGCAGTTCGAATGTAAAGTAATTTAATCAATCCAGATTTTACTCTTTCACGAGTCACATGAATATCAATTTCAATGTGTTTCGTTCTTTCGTGAAACACTGGATTCTCAGCAATATGGATTGCTGATTTGTTATCACAAAACACAGAGATAGGCAGCTGCACATTCACACTCAACTCAGCAAGTAAACCCTTCATCCACTGCAATTCACACACTAGTTGAGCCAAAGCTCTGTATTCAGCTTCTGAGGAAGATCGTGAAACAGTGGTCTGCTTCTTTGCTTTCCAAGTAACAAGCGAACTTCCAAGGAAGTTGCAGTACCCACTAACTGACCTTCTCGAATCTGGACAACTAGCCCAGTCAGAATCACTATAACCTGACAACTTCAATGTGGAATCACTCTTGAAACAGATGCCCTGATTTGGTGACCCTTTAATGTATCTAAGGACTCTAAAAGCAGCTTGCAAATGTCCTGTATAAGGTTCTTTCTGTAATTAACTGAGCTGCTGCATTGGAAAGGTTAAATCAGGTCTAGTAGTAGTAAGATAATGCAACCTGCCAACTAATCTCCTGTATTGCTCAGGATCTTCAAGTAAAACACCCTGTTTAGCCCTTAGTGTGACTTTTGGATCCAATGGAGAAACACAAGGCTTGACATCCTGATAACCAGTGTCTTTCAGCAGCTCTAAGCAGTATTTTCGTTGATTCACTGCAATTTCATCACTGCTTCTAGCAATTTCAAGGCCTAGAAAATACTTTAACTCTCCTAGGTCCTTGATCTTGAAGTTCCTACTGAGATACTTCTTAACTTCCTCAACATCTTCCTTGTTGTCTCCTCCCACTATAATATCATCCACATACACTAGCAATACCACAAAACATCCATGGACCCACTTTGTAAACATGGAATAGTATGAAACAGATTGTGAGAAACAATGTTGCAGTAAGGAGTAAGTCAATTTTGCAAACCACTGTCGACTTGCCTGCTTTAGTCCATATAAGGATTTCCTTAACCTGCACACAAGCTTCTCAGGTCCATTTGCTCTTGGATCACCTGGTGGCAACACCATATATACTTCTTCTTCAATAGGAGAACATCAAGGTCCCCATGCAGAAAAGCATTGGAGACATCCATCTGATCCAACACCCAACCCTTATTAGCAGCTACAACCAGTAATGCTTTAACAGTATTAATCTTAGCAACAGGAGAATAGGTATCCAGAAAGTCTTTACCATAAACCTGTGTGAAACCTTTGGCTACCAGCCTTGCCTTAAACCTTTCAATGCTCCCATCTGGTCTTCTTTTGATCTTAAACACCCATTTGTTACCTATAGCTCTCTTGCCTTTAGGTAGAACAACAACATCCCAGGTGTGGTTCTCCTCCAAGGCCTGAGTTTCTTCATTCATGGCCTTGTTCCAATGCTCACTAGTTGATGCTTCTTGATAAGAACATGGTTCAACCTCATGTAACACACTCATAATGTAACTTCTGTCAGCTGGAGATAACTGATCAAATTCCAAATACTGCTCCATGGGATACTTGCTAACACTACCAACCTAGTAGTCTTTAAATTTAACTGGCAACTTGCCTCTATTAGCTCGAATAGGCCTGCCTTCAAACTCTTCTTGTACCTCTAGTTCAGGAGCATCATCAACAAAATCCTCTAGGTAGACAGACTTATCATTAGCAGAACTAGGCAAAGAGGAATGACCAGAGGGAGTATTGGTATTGGAAGGGTTGACTGCTGAAGGAGAAGGAGGAATTGAGGGAGAAGTAGAAGTGGAAGTACTGGCCTCCCCTGATCCCTCAATTGGAGAAGAATTGGGTTGGTAAACTGATATACTGTGAGGTGCTAAGGATGGAGAAATGGGAGGGGAAGGAAAAGGAGTTGGTGATTCAATTGAGGTAGTTCGAAAAGGAAGAATGGTCTCATGAAAGACAACATTCCTAGAAATGAAGAACTTTTTGTTTTCAAGGTCTAAAAGGGTGTAACCCTTAATCCCAGCAGGGAAACCAAGAAAAACACATTGGGAGGATCTGGCTTGGAATTTAGTACGACCATGAACCAAAGTAGAAGCATAGCAAAGGCACTCAAAAACCTTTAAAACATTGAGATCAAGAGGTTTATGGAAGAGTAGTTGATAAGGAGAAAGGTTTTTGAGAACTAGAGTAGGCAGCCTGTTAATTAAATACACTGAATGAAGTATACAAGCACTCCAGAACTTCAAAGGAACCCCTGACTGGAATCTTAGGGCACGAGCCACATTTAAAATGTGTTGATGCTTACGTTCTACTCGTCCATTCTGCTCAGGAGTCTCAACACATGAGGTTTGGTGTTCAATGCCATGGGTTCTATAGTAATCAGACATGTGAAATTCCTGTCCTTGATCACTACGAATGGTTTTTACTGATTTCCCAAACTGTTTCTCAACCAACTGACAAAAACCTTGCAGTAATTCACGAGTTTAACCCTTAGAATGCATCAAGTAAACCCATACAGCCCTACTGTATTCATCCACAATAGTCAATAAGTAACTATAGCCATCATAAGATTTAACTGACAAGGGGCCCCAGATATCAACATGAATAAGAAAGAAAGGTTCACAAGCTGTCATATCATTAACTAGAAAAGGAAGTTTGCGTTGTTTAGACAAATGACAGATCTCACAATGGGAAACAGATTCATTGTGAGTTACATTGTGTTGTTTCAAAAGAAGTTGAAATCTATCTCTACTGGGGTGACCTAAGCGCCAGTGCCATAGATTAATGTCTTGTGGTTGAAGATTGTAGGTGAAAGCAGCTTGATGATGAGAAGGGCAGGAAACTGAAGTGAATGGCAAGAGAGTGGAAAGATCAAGAAGGTATAATCCTCTACTTTGTTTTGCCAAACCAATGCTCTTCTGGGTCTGAAGGTCCTGAATTTCACAGACAGAAGAGTGGAAGTGCAAAGACAAGGGTAAGTCTGTGGTCAATTTGCTAATGGAAATGAGATTAAAGGTGAAACTGTGAACAAGCAGGACATTATGAAGAGTAAGGCCTGAAGGGAGAGGGACTGTTCCTATGTGGCTCACTATAACTCGTTGACCATTAGGCAAATAAACAAAGGTATCAAAGATTTCAGTATAAGAAGAAAAATGGTTTAAACAACATGTCATATGATCTGAGGCCCCAGTTTCAAGTATCCATATAGTTCTCAAGGCTGATTTATCCACAGAACTGTGTGAAGAAAGTACAAACTTACCAGCATGATTGGGAAATGCAGGTAAGAATTGAGACACAGAATAAGCTGTAGGGGTAATCCTTGGTGAGCTACCTAGAGACAATGGCCCAGTATCCATGCCAAATTGAAGAAGAGATTTGAGGCGAGTGATTTCATCAGAGGAGAGGGCATTCACACCCTTAGAGGGACTAGAGCTGCCATCAGAGATGCTACTAGTACTGTCAAAAGATGGGGCTGCACTATCTGTGGAGACAAAACCAGAAAAACCTTCCTTCTCTTGTTCCCTCTTCTTTAACTTCCAGCAGTCTTTGATAGTGTGATATGTTCGTTTGCAATATCTGCAAAAGAGTTTCCCTTATCCAGCCTCTTGCCTCCCTTTAGACTGATCCCTACCATACTGATTACCAACAGCAAGAGCAACAGATTGACTGTTCTTAGACTTAGTCTGATCCCCTTTCAGCTTTTGTTCATGTAAAAGCAAATCATCAACAGCATCGGTAACAGTGGGTAAAGGTTTCATCATGAGTAGTTGTGTCTTCACAACCTCATACTCCTTATTATGCCCTCTTAAGAAATGAATCAGATAATCAATTTCTTGCTTAGTTTGAAAAGCGACTACAGCAGGGCAAGGAACATGATTATTAGGAGCACAAGGACAGGGAACAATAGGGGAAAACTGCAGATAATCCTCCCAGAATCCTTTAATCTTAGTGTAGTACTGAGTAATGGTTCGATCACCCTGTTTGCAAGCATGAATGTCATCCTCCAAATTGATAATGCGCAAAGCATTAGGTTGCCCAAATCGTCTCTTCAATTCATCCCACAGAACACGAGCATTCTCGTGATTCAGAACACTACGAGCAATTTCCTTCTTCAAGGAATTGACAATCCAACAAAGAAAAACAGTGTTACAACCATCCCAGAGATGGAAATGAGCACTACCAGCTGGCGGAGCAGGGATAGACCCATCAATGAAACCTAGCTTGTGCTTGGTTTTCAACGCCAGACGCATAGATCGGCTCCACATAAAATAGTTAGTACCATCCAAAAGCTCAGCGACGAGCGACTGAGACAGATTCTCGTTGGGATTAAGATAATAAGGGTTGCCAAACTGGATCTCACCTCTGCCAGCCTGAGTCTGATCCTCGTTGAAGCTGCCGAACTGAAAACCTCCACCAGTAGACGTTCCACTGCTACGAGGAGAAGTAGAAGGAGAGCCGGTAGCCATTGTTGTGGAGGATCAGATCCGAGGCTCTGATACCATGTAGAAAATGTATGGAAGGCAAAGGTTGATCGAAAACCCGCAAAGCCAAACAGCTGCAGGGTTGATTCCTTTATAAAGGGTTTCAAGTTTTACTGTGCTCCAACGGTAAATAAAACGGAAAAACAAAATCACCCTGACACGTGGTGAATGCTAATAAGCTAATGTGGAACCAACTCCACTTACAAGTAAAACGACGACGCGTTCCGCACGAAGGCTCGAAACATTTCCCATACAACGAATCGTCTTCGAGTCCGAAACGCGTTCTTCAGCTGTTCTTCATTTCCAGTTCTGCTCTGCATCTTCGATTCCAATTCAGCTCTGCATCAGTGCTTCACCTTCATGAATCTCAGCTTCATCATCTTGACAATACTAATGACTGATTTATAGTCTGTCCTCGTATAATCAACTTTACCCACTGATTTTAGAAATTGTCATTCTTGTCTCAACAATACATCATAGTAGACTATGTTGGTCGGACACGTAGTTTCACCGTCTATTTGGACGGTCAACACTATTGACCATTAGTCAACTGTCCATCTCATTACCATGTCAGCAATACCAAACCAAAATAAAATTAAGAATACAAATTGCTTTATTGTTTCCTTTATCTTATTAATAAAATAATAAAAAATAAATAAATAACCCCAAAATTAATTTCGACCACCCCAATACCCATCGACAACTTATCTCTCCTCCTCGTTCAGGCTTCCACCATCGACAACCACCACCGACTATCTCTGAAAATCAAACTGCTGATCTGTTAACGAAGGCAGTAGCGTCAGCTCGACATTTGTTCCTAGCACACAAATAGATATTGAGACACAATCAATTTGAGAGAGAGTGTTAGAAGTTTGAGTACCATTCTATAATTGTCCAAGTTAGGGTTAGTAGCTAGTATATATACGTGTGTTGTATGGCCGGCTAGGTTAACTCTTCTGGGTAGGGGCGGCATTTCGGTTTTAGGTTAGCGGGTAACCGTCGGTTTTAACCAAAAACCGTTGATTACTAGCTAACCGAAAACCGACCGGTTATCTTGGTGGTCGGTGTTCGGATGGGAAAAGGAAGGGGTCGGTTGAACGAGTAACCGACGGTGATTAACCGCGGTTATCCGACTAACCAGTCCCAATCGAGACCCACTTAACCTTTCCAAAATTCTGTCCATCATCTCCACCTCCACTCTCCTCCTCGAACTCTAAACGCCTTCGTCCACCTCGCCTCTCCCCTGCACCTCGCCGTCCTCCTCCTTCCCATCGCGATTAGCGCCGCGCCGTGCCATTCGTACGCCTCCGCCTCCGTCTCCTTCCTATCGTGGAGCAGGCCACCAGTCCAGCAACAACATCATTTCGCGTCGTCCTCATCGTCAATCCAACAAACCATCTCTTTCCCCGGCGACGACCTAGGGCCTCCGCTCCGCCGTTCCCGTGTGCGACCCCCTGCTTCTCCTCCTCGAATCGCCAATCGCCCTGCCCCGATGTCCGCCTCCACTTGCCCCCAGTGTGCCTCTGCTTCTCCTCCATGGTTGTGGTGTCCAGATCTGAAATGGAAGGAAGGAGAGAGACGGAAGGAGTGGTGGCCTTCCTGGTGGTGGTGGGGGGTTTGAATGGAGAAAGGAGGGAGAGAGAAGGATGAAGGAGATAATGATTAAGTGGTGGGCGGATTTTTGTTTTTTTTTAATAAATTTTAATTAATTTTTTGGAGAGAAGGGAGTATTTATTGGGTATGCGGCTAACCAAACCAAAACCGATAACCGACCAGTAAGTGGTTGGCTAGCTGTATTGTCCTTCATGGTCGGTGGTCGGCAGCAGGAGGTGTTGGCTCGGTTTAACTGATAACCAACCGGATGACACCCTACTTTTGGGTGATAATAAGAACTCTTTGTCGTAATACCATGGACTTGTCTCAACGATAATCGTTGGGAAAACCACGTAAACTCGTGTGTCTGTGTGATTATGACAATTTCATATTATAACTCTGTTTTAGGTGTTGTTTCATGTAACTTGGAGTTTGGTGAATTAAAAAAGACGATAGAACATCAAAGATTGTTATTCATGCAACACTAATAGATCAACATGTTGATTACATCGACTGTTTGGTCAACCTTTCAAGTGTGTTCGCATGATTTATTGTCTTTAGAGCACTTTCTGTCACGTTGGATTGAATTATGAATATATCCTTAACCCTAACCGTTTAACCTGGCCATAGTGTAGTCCACCAATTCTTGCTCTTTATAATTATGGAGTTATGTTGTAACAAATAAGTATGTTATTAGGTCCACCTTTTTCCTGAAGCAAGTCACATTGAGTTTAAAAGCAACCATAGCCACACCCTAAAATGATATCCACTATTTTGAAAGAAAGAAAAAAAAAATAATACAAAGAGAATACTTGAAGCAAGAACTGGCCAAGACTCAACAGGGACCTATTATTAATTTATTATTATATATAAATTTGAATCCAAGTTACTGTGCCTAAAAGTTTTAGGTTTGGTCACCTATTTTTATCAGTTTTACATTTATTACCATCATATAATAATGTCAAATCAAAATAAGTTTTCATTGGGGTTGTGCTATTGGAGTAATGTGTTTCTTTTTGTTGTTGACTCTTTCTATATATTTTATTTTATAAAAATCTTGGTTTTGTGTATAATAATATTATCATTAAAATACAATATGGGTAGAGATGGTAACAAGTCGGATAATGCATATATATTTCCCTACCCAAAAAAATTCGTGTTGTACACATATCCAAACTCATATAAGCATTGGATAGAAAATCAAACCATACACATACCTGATCGGGTTTTGGGTATGCATGGATGATTTTAACAATTCTTCATATACCGACATTATATAAGTGACAAACCACAACAATAAATTACCGAAATGAAGAAACATAGTCATAAAAATATTATATATGCACGATAAATATGAAATATGTTAAGAAAAGTAATGATAATTTTTAAATAAAATACATATGCACGTGTATAATCAGACACTAAGCAAGTGCTAATGGCAGTGGTTCACACAATCCTCTAATTATTTTGGCCCTAACCCCATGGGGCTGGTTTTACAATGCGAAGCTTTTAGAAAAGCGTATGTGTCACATATGTTTTGAAGCCCAACCCATGAATTTCGGAATTCTATATATTTTTAAGTGAGCGTATAGAGTACAAAACTTCGGTCTACAAAACCCGGTCGTATCATCATATCATGATTCACGACATCGTGATACAATAGTACAATACACCTAACTAACCTGTTAAACTCCCTTTTATTGTAAGCAAACTAATTTACCATTTTGGATGAAAATACGTGATATAGTTGTTTTATTATATCTTGATACTTATTCGACATTTTGTTACATTTTAAACATTTGGGATCATTTTATTACTAACCCTAATATATGTGAGCACTTTAATAACAAACAAACAAAAAAAAACCGTTCAACACTTCATCTCAATCCTGCAGTGAAACGCGGGCGGCATTGCCTAGTCTTAAAAAATATTAAAACAGTTTGAGTTTTGCCCCCATGCCACGTACCTCGAACTGAAAAAAGAGGCTATCCACGTGTCACCCTCCATTTTCCTGCTTCGGCCCTTTTTCCTTGGTTAATTTGATCTTGGCCAAAATCTTTCTTCCTCTCCAAAAACTACCTTTGCTTTTTCCTATATATATATATCTTCTCCTTAAATTTCTCTTCCGCCACGGAAACTGCGTCCCCTACTCTCTTTTGTATCTTCTCCAATTATAATTTCTTCCCGATCGTGCATTTTTCCAGGCCTCCGTTCCGAAGCCCCCTAATTTCCTAGCCGGCGAAAGTTTCTCCATACAATCAAATCCGCAACCACGCGTATAATATCCTTTCGGGCCACCGTTCCGAACACCATGAATTATCCGCGCTGGTGAGCATCTTCTTCATACAGCCAACGTCGCAATATCCCTGCCTTATGACTGAATGGGATTCCCACATGTAATATTTAATTTTCAGTCCATTGTTGCTTCAATTTGTTCAGTCATATGGTTGTCTACTCTGCCTCTGTTTCCCCTTTGACACACTGTGTTTTCTTCACACATTTCCATATACACGTTCCTTTGGTTTGTATGAGACAATTGTTCTTACTATACCTTACTAATCTTTCTCTCTTTTGGGTTTGTTTCGTTACTCGCATCTGCAACATCGCTTAAATCGCTAAAAGTTGCTCTGTGAGCATCAATCCCTAAAGTTTGACTCAGACATTAGTCCGCACTAGAGTCCAATTAATCACAAACTCGGTAACCAATTGATAATTGTTTCAAATTTATTTAATTATAGGTTGACTGATTAATAAGTTTTATAAACTTATAAAAGGGGTTCGACAAAAAGATCCTCCACCGCAGAATTAAAACTTCTTCGTAACTTTTGATTTTCTGTATTTATTTTTAATAGGGTTTATGGGTTGTATTATAGCGGGTGGTTTCCACTTTTTTGCGGTTTCTTTTAACTTTTCATGCAGTTTTTTATAGTTAGATAATCCATTCTCTATTTCTCTTCATTATATTCTCCCTCCTGCAACAGTTGGATTAGAATAGAAATTGGGATTTTTTGTTTTTCTATTTTGAAGTGAACAGAAGTTCTTTCTTAGTTCTTTTTTTACAGATTTTTTCGTTCTTTTTTATCATTAAACAAAAATTCTTCATGGTTAAAATACTATTAATTTGAGTCTATCATTTTCAAAACTATTACACGTTAGTATGTCAAATGATTTTGATGTCCACTTATACAAAAAAGTTTATAATCACAAATTCCACAAAGAGGTTATAGAATGAAGAAAAGTAACTTGAATACGTAACTAAATTTGGTTTATTGGACACTTATTTGTTATCCTTCAGTTCAAAATACTTAGGAAATGAGAACCATCGCTAATAATTTATTGATTAATTGATCTTATGGTAAAGAAATGAATTCATTCTTTACAAAAAATAAACAATTCATTCGCTAGATTTCGGGAACTAACATTGCTTCATGTATCATGTATAAGATGATAAATGTGAATGCTTTATTTGACATTTGAACATAAATGTGCACAACAAGACTTCTAAACCTCCTTAGGATATGTATAAAAGTTAGATAGAATTGAGTCATTATGCGTGAGCATGATAAATATTAACACAAAATTTATCATGTGCATATGATAGGCTTAGCTGGATGCCAATAGTTATTGATTAAAAATTGAGTGTCTTAATTTAAAATTATGTATGATTTATATTAAAGACTAAAAATTATAGATTGATGTTGTCTACTTAGTTGAGAAAAAAAAAACTTACTTACGCATTCATAAACTTAGAAAGTAAAAAAAAAAAAAATATTTTTTGAAAAATAAAGTGAAAAAACATAAATTGATTGAAATAATTAAAATTCACCCCGGCCAACAGGCCGGGTACAAAGCTAGTATATCTTAAAACATATTAAAGGTTTTCAGATATAAGCCCTGTCCACGTAAGCCTTGGAGGCTTCTCCGTGAGTTTCGGTATTTTTCATTTTTTTATTATCTTCTTTAACTTTTCGCAGTTGCTGCGTCGGTTAATTTGGAAATTTGGCTTTTTAAAATTATTATTTTTAACTTCCAAGGGGTTGCGCCCCAATTCATTTTCCAAACTTTTTTGTGGTTAAGATTAAATAATAATTTGAAAAGTTCATCCCCTAAGAAAAATTAATTTGAAAATTTCAATTTAACAACATGATTTTGTGACATGTGAGAGTGGATTAATAATTACGTTTTTCTGGTGAAGTTAAGGAATGAACTTCTTAATTCTTAAGCCATTTTTTAATACGGATATTTTTACTGGGATGTTAAAAATTCTCTTTTTATAAAATATATTTAGATGCACTAATAATACATATCTACAATATACATCATACCTTATTATTTTCATGGATATATAATAGATTTCTTAATGCATAGAAAATGTTATAATTTTCACCTATATATATGATATTTCACTAATTTTAGTATTTTGCCTAAAGTAATATTATAATGATAACAAATTGATAATTTAGATGTTGCCATATATATTTATAAGTTACGGAGAAAAAATTAAAATTCTACCTGCCCAAAGGCAGGGTGGAAGCTAGTATATATATAGAATGGAATTATACACACATCATCATCAGATGCTGCTCATCCGATTATTTATTAAACAATTAACAGCAAACTAGTTCTATTCTATCCCTCTAGAATTTCTTTCGCAATTGCTCCACCAGTTCCTTGTCCATCTGAAACGCCCTGGCCAGCACACTCGGGTCAATACCCGATCCGAAAACTGAATTAGCCACCACAACAATGCCCGGGTTCTGGCTGCTCAATCCGGACACGGCCCGGCCAGCAGTTCTCCCGATGTTGTACTGGAAATGGATCCTTCCCGCCGGGAAAACGAACACATCACCCGGGTTCAGTATCTTGCTGATCAGCCGGTCCGGGTTCGACGCCACGAACCCGGCGTAGAATTTCCCCTCCAGGGCCAAGAACACCTCCGTGGCTCGAGGGTGGTAGTGGGGAGGGTTCAGGCCGCCGTTGGGCACGTAGTCCACTCGAGCCAGGGATATCCCCAGCGTGTTCAGCCCCGGGATCCGGTCGGCGTTGATCAGGGTGACTTTCGACCCAACCGGGTTCGAAGTGTTACCCGGCTGGTCCAGACCGGACAGGAAGAAATCGTCCGCCGTGACTCGGTTTGGATCCTTGCACAGGTTCCCGTTCACAAACACTGCATGCACATGTCGATAATAATGCAAGAAATTAAATAACACATATATTTAGTGATACACATGTGTTAGTTATTTCCACAGACAGGACATAGCGGTTTCATTATACTTAAGGATATACTTAAGGATACACAGAAAATAGAAATTGAGAAGATATACATTTATAGCACCTTCTTAATAGTAGGGTGGCTATTTGGTTCGGACTTTTTGGTTTTACTCGAAATCGAACCGTATAATTCGGATTGAAACCGGATCGGGACAGGATAGCAAACAATTGAATTCAATTTTTTGGCCTAGATTGAGATAAAAAAAAAACCGTTTGGGACCGGACCGAAAACCGATATAGACCGAATAATTGAGCCCAACGCCCAAAATTTAACCTTCTTCTCGCCCTTTCATGCCTTAGGCCACTCAAATCCCCACAAGCTCAATATAAAATCAAGACCGAATTGAGACCGGACCGGATCATGACCGGACTGTATCCAATCCAATCTTTGGTCCTTATATTCTCGAAAAGACTGGACTGTGACCAGATCAATTCAGACCAATTTAACCGAAACAAACATATAGCCACCCCACTCCACAGCAGTCTAAAAAAATCCAAGTTGGTAAAAAAAAATTACAGACGCTCAAAACTGTAAAACAAACTTGTATAACTCCATAATTTGTTTTCAAGTCATAGTAACAAGAAGATCATAGTAGGAAGGAAGATAATGTGTCTTCTGGTCGACGACAGATAATCTGTCTTCAATTACATACCACTGTTATTGGGGTCCTTGACCGCGACGCAGAAGTCCTGGAGGGAGCCTGGATCGACGGCAGAGAGGAGCGGCAGTAGAGCTAACGAGATGGCGAAACCCACGGCGAGGAAACAAAGATCATCTCTTCCTCCACTCATGTTATTGTCAGAAGGCGAGCTTAAATTAGCTAGCTAGCTATCACTGATCTGAAAAAGGTAAAGGTAGAACTGTATCTGATGGAATTTTTATAGCAAAGAGGGGGCGGGGTTCATTAATTATTAGCTGTTGAATCAGTTTGTTGTTTACTGGCATGCTGACTTGTTCGTGGTGATGGGTTTTTTGTTTTGGTTATATATATTTTCTGCATGACGGTGAGACTGATGCTCATTGTGGGCTAAGTTAAGTGAATACATATTAAATGTCGATTTCCTCAACGAGTTTCTTTTGGTTTGGTTTTTTGTATATAAAGTATGATGCCAGCAGTAAGCTACTTTGAGCAAATCTTTGTGGAATATACATATCTATCTTCAAGTAAAGGAGACCAATTCATAACACCGTTGGAGGTATATATAAGTAGTTGAGAATGATGTATATATTAAATTCCCAAACTCAATTGTCTGTTCGCCTGCAGGTTGTTGTTATCCTTTAGGCTGGGTCAGTTTCGTTGTGCTCATTCTCATCAAGTATCGTGCTGAACAGCTCGAAATATAATATCAGGCATTGTTTGGATGGCTGGTTCAAAACTTGAAGTGTCTATGTTAAGAGATAGAACTGTTCTTTTTCGATGACTGATGTTTGACCTTTTCCCTTATAATTTAGTGTGCAATGAATTGTCCGCAAAGAGGGGAAATGTCGTTTAAAAAAAATATATATATACATAATTCCGGTTAATTAATTGTCTAAATAACACAACTCAACGAGCGTACGGTAAATTAGTGTAAGCGTGACACTACAAGAAAAACTAATAATAATCATAGTCACCTACTGACAGTCCCCCATGACCGTCGGTATCTAACAAATGTTGATGGACTAGCGGACGGAATATTTGACCGTCGGAAACTAATTGATGTTGAGTTGCAGCAAAGCTATATAGCCTATGTTTGGCCCAGCTTTTAGGTGGACAATTTTGTGGTCAATAATCTTTTCATAATCTGTATTTCTTAAAGCTGTTGACACTTTTGATTTTTCGAAGACTGCTCAAAAGGTGTTTCAGATGTTAGATGGAGTTGTTGAGAAGATTGGGGAAGAGAATGTTGTTCAAGTTGTGACAGATAATGCTTCAGCTTATAAGGCAGGAGGACAATTGTTGATGGAAAAAAGGAAGCATTTGTTTTGGACACCTTGTGCTGCTCATTGTTTAGATCTGATGCTAGAGGACCTTGCAAAGCATATTAAGGTGCACGAGACCACAATATGGTAAGAAGATCACCAATTTCATCTATGCAAGAACAATGATGATTGCCATGATGAGGGAGTTCACTCAAGGGAAAGATTTGGTTAGACCTGCTGTTACAAGATTTGCTACAACATATTTGACATTGGGATCTCTTAATGACAATAAGGGTTCCTTGATGAGAATGTTTTCTTCTGAGAAGTGGAGGAAGAGTAGCTTTTCTAAGCTTCGTGAAGGAAAAAGAGTTCAAGGATTTGTACTTGATGGTAGATTTTGGAAAAGTGTGACAAATTGTCTTAGAGCTGCTCAACCTCTTGTCAAGATTCTACGTTTGGTTGATTCTGATGAAAAACCTGCAATGCCCTTCTTATACTCTGAAATTATCCAATCGAAGGAGAAGATTAAAAGCAACTTCAACAATGTGAAAAGAAGGAGATTTTGGAGTTTCATTTTCCTATTAACTTATCATACAAACCTATATTTTTATTGTTCTAACTTCTAACTTATAATTTGCCTATTCTCTATTGTATATACTTTATATAGATACAAGCCTGTCTTGAAAGTCATTGACAAAAGGTGGGAAGATCAAATGAGTAGACCAATTCACTATGCTGCATATTGGTTGAATCCTCAAATTCACCATTCTCAAGGATTTAAACATAATGATCCAAAGGTGGAAATGGGATTGTATGAGTGCATATCTAGATTTGCAAAGAATGATGAAGAGAAGTTTTTGATAATGGAGCAGTTGTCTGTATTTCGTCATGCTCATGGAATGTTTGATAAATATGGTGCAATGCAATTAAAGGATAGGCAACATCCAGCTGATTGGTGGATCTCATTTGGAGATGAAATGCCAGAGCTTCAAAAATTTGCTCTCCGGTTGTTGAGTTTGACTTGTAGTTCTTCTGGGTGCGAGCGTAATTGGAGTGCATTTGAGAGGGTAAGTAATAAATTGCCTCTACTTTCTTTTCATCATATCATTCATTCTTTTTACATGTGAAAATGTGGTGATGTTAACTCTTTTACTTGTAGATTCATACTAAGAAAAAGAACAATTTGCGTGCACGAAAGATGAATGATCTTGTGTATGTTATGTGCAACAACAAATTGGTGGACGGGAATGCCAAGAAAGCAAGAAGGCTTGAGATCGACTTTGAGGATATAGACTCTGATAATGAATGGATTTGTGCTAGTGATAATGAAGAAGGAGAACCACAATCTACAGATTTAGAGGTTGGTGGTGAGGAAGGTAGTCATACTATTGAAGGTGGGGATGATGCTATTGGTGTTGATGCTCGAAGATATGAGGGTGATCATGAATATAGTAGTCCTCTTGATGTTGATGGCAATGGTGGTGATGATGATAATGATGATGATTTGGATGCAAATGTGGAAGTCGATGAATTGATGTAGTTTTCCTTCTATCCTTTATAACATTTGTTTGCTTTGATTGTGAGGACTTGGATTATTAAACTCATATGTCATTATGTAAACTTAAACCAGCTTGTGAGAATTTTGGATTCTTAACTCGTTTGTGGGTTACGATTTATGTTTATGACCTTATTGTTAAGATGTTATGAGTTTGTTTTAATTTAAACATGAATTGCAGGTATTTTTTTCTTTTATCTAACCTCTGTGAACTCATATTTTACATAGTTTATGCCGTAGTCAACATTATATTAACTATTATACAGGATGCATAAAAAACTTACGCTTTTACGCTTTGATTTGCCGCTTTTCGATTTTACTCCTTTTCCACTTTTAAGTAGAATCGCGTTTTTAACTGCATTGGTCAAACCATTTCCCTTATAAATTTTAACAAGCTATATTTCTTTCGTGTTAGGTCGTAATTTAAAAATATTTGGACAGGTAATAAGATAAGTGGTGCTCTTCAAAATGATATCTACGTTGATATATTTTTTGAACAAAACATTGATTTCTCATACACCTCCTCCCGACTTGGGTCCGGCTCAAGGAATAATATCAAGCTGATCCAAATTAAGAGAGAGTAAACTGTAAAGCACAAGGAGTAGTATCATAGTTTATTGATCATATAGCTTACTTACGAGCTTTATTTAATATAGTTCACCACCAGTAATATATAGATAAGGAGGAGGATGCAACAGTGTTTTATAAGCCAGAGTTCTGAGTATCCACATCAGGACCTGGTGCCATCTTTGGAGGGTGGCCATGGCCTTCTTGATCATGGTGAGAACCATGTTTACCATGATGCTTACGACCTTGACCATGACGATGGTTATGGCGATGACCTTCACCGTTATTCTGGTGGCGGTGTCCGTGATGAGTTTTCTCCGGACCAGGAGCCGCCTCTGCAGGTGCATTGTCATCGTCCCGACCGCGATGACGACGATGGTGGTGTCGATGACGAGTCTCCTCGGGACCAGGAGCTTCCTCTGGTGGGTTTGGACTCTTGCGAAGCAAACCAGCTGCATAGATTTGTGGAATCGGAGGAGCGTTGTAGTAATTCTCAGCATCATCAAGTGGCGCCTGTAATATTTGTTAAAATAACTCACATGATCACAAATTTCTAATTATAGCATGCAAATATTATTATGTATCGTTAATTAACCAGAAGAAGAAGTTTGAGCCAAACTGTCTACCTTGTGTGTCAAAGTCGCGTTGTCATCCTTAATTGCAGCTACTAGAGCAGTAGTACTGGACAGTTGAAAACTGAAAGCCATCATGAAGATTATCAGCAACGACATTCTTGGAGCTTCGAAAGTCATGTTGATATGTGGGGAGCTATGAACATGCACATATATATATAACCTTCTCGTCTCTGTCCATTTTCCGTTCCCTCTTATAATAATTAATTGTATTCCTATAATATTGATTATATATAGTTAACTTGTTTTTTTTTTTTTTTGGGTACAGCAATCGTTGTCGTAGGTATTCGGAGTTTGCAGTTCTGAGAGGTTTCCATTTTGTTTGTTTGTATTTGGTTTACTGACCAATACGTCGTCGGAGGCGTTGCAACTGTTGTTGGCAACTAAACTAACTAAATAACGGAAACTAACTATTGTGGGCACCAACGAGCTGGGAAGACTGTGTATTTGTGCAGGTATGGACTTGTCTGTTGGCATATTATGTGTCTCCTGAGCAAGATATTGGGATAAAAAGACAGGATTGGGGAGTTAGGATCAATTTATTTTGAGTTTGGTTTAATGGTATTTTATACTACTCTATTATTACAAATTAAGAAACTTACTTTTATATTATTGTATTTTACAAAATGGCCCTTCTAGTAACAATATCAATACATAACAGTAGTGCCCTTCCGTTCGCGGTGATTGGTGGAGTAGCCTGTAGGAGAGTGCAGTTGTTCTTATCCGAAAACAAATAGAGGAGTCGGCTTCTCTTGTTTTCGTAGCTGCTGATGCAGTGTCAAATCGTGGTACTTGGGCCACTCTCGTGGGCCTATTGGGCTGGGTCTGCTTTTGTGTTTGTTGTTTTGCAGGATAGCTTGCACTTCAACTTGGTGGCGAGGGTCGTAGCTTTTACCATATTTTTTAGGTTTTAGTGTTTTGTCACTTTTTTTAAGGAACTAGCAGAGCTTCCCATTTAGTAGCATACAAGACTCTTTCATCAACAGATTGATTAGTATCGACTGTCGTTACTTTTACCTATTGTAAACATATTTATCTACTATTTCATCTGACTATGATATACAATAAACTAGTGCCCTTCCGTCCATTTAGAGCTTGTTTGCTTGTTGGTTTTGAAAATGAGGGGTTTGAGTTTTAAAAATCTTTGGATTTATGATGGATTTGTTGCATTATGAATTTGGAAGAGTACATTGTTTGTTTAATTTATTTTTATCATGGATTCATGATGGATTTGTATCTCATTTTGCCTTCCATTATCAAATCCCAAATGAAATGTGGGATTTGCAAGTCCACGGATTAGGATTTAAAAAATGGATCCAAATTCATGGCCCCCACGGGTTTATGTCCATTAGCAAACAATAGACTTGTTTCAATTCCATGATGCTTGGGATTTGGTTAGCAAATTCATCACCCAAATCTCACAAGCAAACGATGCCTTATTTGTAACTTACCGTTAACTGGGGTGGTGAATGACCAAAATACCCCTCAATAATTTTATTTTTATTTTATTTTTCATTTATCCAATCGAGAACGATCCTACAGCCCAAAAACCCACCCCATCTTCTCCTCTAAGTAGGGGACCGAATATGGTGACAAGACCATATTTTTTGTTGGGTAAATATACGGTACCATATACCGTTAGGAAGAAAACTCTATTTAGACCTCAATTAACCGGATTTTCTAACGTGACACTATACTCGCAATGGATTCACAATCTAACTTCTACGTAAAAGCGAAATGATGGGTAAAAACGAAAGCGCCAAAGCAAAGCATAAAAGCGTAACCTATTAACATCCAATAAATTTGAAACAAATATATATATATATATATATATATATATATATATATTCTTGAAAAATATAAAAAAATAAGTGAACTAGCTAATATATTAAAGTTTCCCCTCGCAAAGATAAACTAAATTAATTGAACTTTAAACAAGAATTAACCACCTTCATGCTGCCTTCGAGAAAAATAAGAGAGGAGGAAACAAACAGCAAATGTTGAATCTATGAGTGTTATAGGCAAGCTTCACTAATAAGGGTCCTTGGTCCTTATTTTATTTTACTTTGGAACACAGCTCCAAAAGTTTGTAATGCGGGTCTCAGAATTTGGAACGGTCCAAATCGAATCAACCCATAGCACACCCCTACAATATTGTCCCAAAACTCGTACATCAAAAGACTAAAAAATAGGTTTAAAAGCAATCTTTTAAGGTATTTAGTAGGTTTTGAAACTTTAAATATAGAGTTTGGTTGCATTGTATACCCAAACCCTTTATTTTAATATGCGTGGATAGAATATAGTACCATATGCCAAATTCATGTCAATTCATGTCAATTCAAAGTATAAAAAATGTTTTCTTACTCAAGTTACGTTAGACCCTACATTTTTCCTAGTTAAAATTGAACTCTCCATATATATAGAAAATATAGCCTACACCTTGCGTATATATGTTATACACCCGGCGTTCACACTTATAAGATCTCCTTTCCATGTATCATAATATTTTGTTATTATTTTTTTTATTAAATGAATCTCTTATTGTATGATTTGAATTGGAGAATTAGAGACTAGGGTTTACCCATTAGAGATTAGGGTATAATATCAATTCATAGTCTAAAAAGCAAACCATGATTGGCATTCAACGTAGGTTAGCTTAACCGATATAATATATGATGAACCGTTGCCCATGATTCAATAATTTGCTTGTAGCAAGAAGCGAAAGAACGACGTTGGTGTCGATAAATCTTTAGTTTTATTATTCGCTAAATCGGACTATGCTGAACTTACACTTATATAGTGCGCAAACACTACCAATGACCCTACTCTGGCCGAACCTCCTCTGACCCCTACGTAGCCGAACTCGACATCTATGATAATCCATTTCGTGTAAAATTCTTTTGTTATTATTTTGCATATATATGTTATACACCCGACGTTCACACTTATAGGATCTCCTATCCATGTATCATAATATTTTGCTATTATTTTTTTATTAAATGAATCTCTTATTGTATGATTTGAGTTGGAAAATTAGAATCTAGGGGTTTACTCATTAGTGGGTTAGGGTATAATATCAATCCATAGTCTAAAAAGCAAACCACGATTGGCATTCAACGTAGGTTAGCTTAACCGATATAATATATGATGAACCGTTGCCCATGATTGAAGGACTTGCTTGTAGCTAAGAAGCGAAAGAACGACGTTGGTGTCGATAAATCTTTTGTTTTATTATTCGCTAAATCGGACTATGCTGAACTTACACTTATATAGTACGCAAACACTACCAATGACCCTACTCTGGCCGAACCTCCTCTGACCCCTACGTGGCCGAACTCGGCATCTATGATAATCCTTTTCGTGTAAAACTCTTTTGTTATTATTTTGCATATATATGTTATACACCCGGCGTTCACACTTATAGGATCTCCTTTCCATGTATCATAATATTTTGTTATTATTTTTTTATTAAATGAATCTTTTATTGTATGATTTGAGTTGGAGAATTATAGTCTAGGGTTTACCCATTAGAGATTAGGGTATAATATCAATTCATAGTTTAAAAAGCAAACCACGATTGGCATTCAACGTAGGTTAGCTTAACCGATATAATATATGATGAACCGTTGCCCATGATTGAAGGATTTGCTTGTAGCTAAGAAGCGAAAGAACGACGTTGGTGTCGATAAATCTTTAGTTTTATTATTCGCTAAATCGGACTATGTTGAACTTACACTTATATAGTACGCAAACACTACCAATGACCCTACTCTGGCCGAACCTCCTCTGACCCCTACGTAGCCGAACTCGGCATCTATGATAATCCTTTTCGTGTAAAATTCTTTTGTTATTATTTTGCATATATATGTTATACACCCTGCGTTCACACTTATAGGATCTCCTTTCCATGTATCATAATATTTTGTTATTAAATGAATATCTTATTGTATGATTTGAGTTGGAGAATTAGAGTCTAGGGTTTACCCATTAGACGTTAGGGTATAATATCAATTCATAGTCTAAAAAGCAAACCACGATTGGCATTCAACAAGATTAGTGTACGCTTTGCGTAGGTTAGCTTAACCGATATAATATATGATGAACCGTTGCCCATGATTCAAGGATTTGCTTGTAGCTAAGAAGCGAAAGAACGACGTTGGTGTCGATAAATCTTTAGTTTTATTATTCGCTAAATCGGACTATGCTGAACTTACACTTATATAGTATGCAAACACTACCAATGACCCTACTCTGGCTGAACCTCCTCTGACCCCTACGTAGCCGAACTCGGCATCTATGATAATCCTTTTCGTGTAAAATTTTTTTTCTGTGTAAAATTCTTTTGTTATTATTTTGCATATATATGTTATACACCCGGCGTTCACACTTATATGATCTCCTTTCCATGTATCATAGTATTTTGTTATTATTTTTTATTAAATGAATCTCTTATTGTATGATTTGAGTTGGAGAATTAGAGTCTAGGTTTTACCCATTAGAGGTTAGGGTATAATATCAATTCATAGTCTAAAAACCAAACCACGATTGGCATTCAACAAGATTAGTGTACGCCTTGCGTAGGTTAGCTTAACCGATATAATATATGATGAACCGTTGCCCATGATTGAAGGATTTGCTTGTAGCTAAGAAGCGAAAGAACGACGTTGGTGTCGATAAATCTTTAGTTTTATTTTTCGCTAAATCGGACTATGTTGAACTTACACTTATATAGTACGCAAACACTACCAGTGACCCTACTCTGGCCGAACCTCCTCTGACCCCTACGTAGCCGAACTCGGCATCTATGATAATCCTTTTCGTGTAAAATTCTTTTGTTATTATTTTGCATATATATGTTATACACCCGGCGTTCACACTTATAGGATCACCATTCCATGTATCATAATATTTTGTTATTAAATGAATCTCTTATTGTATGATTTGAGTTGGAGAATTAGAGTCTAGGGTTTACCCATTAGAGGATAGGGTATAATATCAAATCATAGTCTAAAAAGCAAACCACGATTAGCATTCAACAAGATTAGTGTATGCTTTGCGTAGGTTAGCTTAACCGATATAATATATGATGAACCGTTGCCCATGATTCAAGGATTTGCTTGTAGCGAAGAAGCGAAAGAACGACGTTGGTGTCGATAAATCTTTAGTTTTATTATTCGCTAAATCGGACTATGCTGAACTTACACTTATATTGTATGCAAACACTACCAATGACCCTACTCTGGCTGAACCTCCTCTGACCCCTACGTAGCCGAACTCGGCATCTATGATAATCCTTTTCGTGTAAAATTTTTTTCTGTGTAAAATTCTTTTGTTATTATTTTGCATATATATGTTATACACCCGGCGTTCACACTTATATGATCTCCTTTCCATGTATCATAATATTTTGTTATTATTTTTTGTTAAATGAATCTCTTATTGTATGATATGAGTTGGAGAATTAGAGTCTAGGTTTTACCCATTAGAGGTTAGGTTATAATATCAATTCATAGTCTAAAAACCAAACCACGATTGGCATTCAACAAGATTAGTGTACGCCTTGCGTAGGTTAGCTTAACCGATATAATATATGATGAACCGTTGCCCATGATTGAAGGATTTGCTTGTAGCTAAGAAGCGAAAGAACGACGTTGGTGTCGATAAATCTTTAGTTTTATTTTTCGCTAAATCGGACTATGTTGAACTTACACTTATATAGTACGCAAACACTACCAATGACCCTACTCTGGCCGAACCTCCTCTGACCCCTACGTAGCCGAACTCGGCATCTATGATAATCCTTTTCGTGTAAAATTCTTTTGTTATTATTTTGCATATATATGTTACACACCCGGTGTTCACACTTATAGGATCTCCTTTCCATGTATCATAATATTTTGTTATTATTTTTTTATTAAATGAATATCTTATTGTATGATTTGAGTTGGAGAATTAGAGTCTAGGGTTTACCCATTAGAGATTAGGGTATAATATCAATTCATAGTCTAAAAAGCAAACCACGATTGGCATTCAACAAGATTAGTGTACGCTTTGCGTAGGTTAGCTTAACCGATATAATATATGATGAACCGTTGCCCATGATTCAAGGATTTGCTTGTAGCTAAGAAGCGAAAGAACGACGTTGGTGTCGATAAATCTTTAGTTTTATTATTCGCTAAATCGGACTATGCTGAACTTACACTTATATAGTACGCAAACACTACCAATGACCCTACTCTGGCCGAACCTCCTCTGACCCCTACGTAGCCTAACTCGGCATCTATGATAATCTCTTTCGTGTAAAATTCTTTTTCGTGTAAAATTCTTTTCCTTTTTGGTGTTTTCATCAGGTTTATTTTCCATACCTATTTAAAGGGTTGTAAGCCACGAAATTTGGCATACAAATGAGACTTTGATGAATAGAAAAACCCTTTGGTTCTTGAGTGTTTACTCTTAAATGAGAGTTTGGTGGATTCCAAACTCGTTGAGCTCTGTATCAATCAAGTATTACCCTTGATCGTGGTCGGGCATCTACCCTGATATTCTTCGAGCCTCTTTCCGTGTGTTGAAGTTGCACGTCAATCCTTTTCCATCCCATCCTTTTATTTTTGAGTTGTTTAGAGGAAATCACAGAAAATCCTAAAAAGTGAGAGCTGCGTATTCTGATTCGTGAGAGAGTTCGGATTCGCAGATTCCTCTTACATCAGGTGGTATTAGAGCCCGCTTCAAACTCAGCGGGGATTTGAGTTATTTTTATTTCGTTTTCACTGTTCAAACAAAAAAAAAAGCGTGTACTGTTCATCGTGAAAAAAAAAGAATTGAAAAAAATATTCATTAGTCACAAAGATGGCGTGAGTTGAATATATATATATATATATATATATATAAACTGGTTAGTTAGCCGATTTGAAAAAAAAAACACAAACCAAAATTCAAGATATATTATATATATATGGTGACTTCTACGGTGCCTAGGGCAAAATCCGGGTACGGGTACCTTGGCCGATCTTAACCATTCGTTTTCAATCTCCACGACTCACGTTTGTTAAACCTTCTTGCGCACTAAATAACTAAACAAATTACAAAAAGGCTCCTGCCGCGTTAAGTTTTTTTTCATCCTAGTCCAACTAACTGAACCGATTAAATTAAATTGATTAAGACTGCAAACCCAATTGGGTAGACCCACTGCCGCCCTAACCAATTTCCAGTCTCCCTAACCAATTACACGATCCCTCTCTCGTCTTGGAGGGACGCCCCTTCACAGTTCCAAGAGAAGCTCCCCATCCAATTTGAACTCCCCAACTTAATCATCTTTTTGAATCCCAATTACTTGCATCCACATTCGACGTAGATTGAATTTCCCAATTTATTTTGTCTTGTTTCTTCTTCGCCATTTTATTTCCCCTCGTCTATCTCTTTCTAACACGATTACGGCGACCGTGTCTATTATTTTGTTCATCAAACTTTTCATTTGCAAAAGAACCCTTGAAAGAGGTTTGCTAACCCTAGGGTTCATGTCGCTAGTGCTTTGTCATCTTGTCTTAGCGTTATTGTGATTTTCTCGAACCTTATATCTCTCGGTGAAATTTAGGTTTCCTGATATGTAGTGTTCGTCTCGCCCAGAGGATTGAGGAAGAAGATGAAGAACACATAATTTGATTCGAATCGGATGGAGAGGTCTCCTTAGTTTGTGTTTATGTATTAACGATGCGTTTAGGAGTAATTCTAGTTGGACTAGGTCTGATCATTGATTTTTGCCGGCTTTTAAATAAGATTCAAACGTGGGCTTGTACATGACCCATGCAATATTCAAAAGTGGGCCTGGAACGTGCGAGCCCATTTGTTTTCTCCTGCAGTATCAATTCGTGTGCTAATCCTAGTTTAACTAGCTTTACTTACCCTAGTTTAAGCTACACGAGTTAACATCATCATTACTACATATCTTCCGAAATCTTCTAACTCTTGACATTCCAGACTCAACCGTCTCCATCACACTCACGTCTCCACACTCAACCCCCACGATCACTTTTTCTTACACCTACATTCTCTCTTTCCTCCATCTTCACCTTCCCTTGTTCCTTCTTCCTCTGACTCCATGGCAAACAAAGGTAAATCTTTTGCGGAAATGGGGATACTATCTCTTTCAAACGAAGACTGCCGATCCACCGCAAGTCTCGGGGACTATCTTTCATTCACAAGCAAGACATCAATTGTGGCCGAGTACGAGTTCATCCACCTGAGTCCTTTCCCTGCAAAAGTGAAGAAGTTAATTAAAAATCTTGGCTGGGAAAAGTTCTTTGATCTCCGGAGTCGAGGAAGCACCAGTTACTGCCCGCATGTGGTGAGGAAGTTCTACCACAATTTAGAGCTGTCTGGTCCCTGCGATTCGCATCTCGTGTCGATCTTCCTAGGTCATAGAGTCTGCTTCCAGCCTCATCAGTTTGCTGAGATCCTCGATCTCCCCGCCACAGGACACCCCATTGATAGCAGAAGCGATCTTGGGCGGCTGTACGATTTTGAGTTTGAAGTTGAACTGGCAAAACTGACGAAGGGGCGCATCCAGGCTTCTTTCCTCCCAGATCCTCTTCGATTCCTCCACTGGATGATCGTCAACTGCTTCATGCCAAGGTACCGTGGTCATTCGATTATTCGTAAACTTGACCTGTTTATCCTTGTGCAAGCTCAAAGAGGTGTTCCTGTTAACCTCGCATCTTTCATGTGCCTGAACATGGTTGAGGCTGCTCCTAGAGGGGAAAACTGGTACACTGCCTTTCCATATGCCACCTTCTTGACCACCTTTCTTGAAAGGGTTGGGATGGATATGGGGGTTTATGCTAAGGAGGACCAGTGTGCCTATTTGCCAGTCTACCGTATCGTCGAATTGACCAATACTTTTATTGACCTTCGGCATACGGAGCATGAAGAGACCCCTGAGGCATCCTCAAGCAAACGTCCTCGGCTTACATGAGAGTCGATTGATGCAGGGCGAGGTGGAGCGTTGGAGCATCAATGGGCCAGCATTGGATGTCTTTTGTTAATAAGTTTACTCAGGCTTTGTTGGGTTTTTTTTTTCCAGTCTTATTCTCCAGCACTCAAAACTGTCAGGTACTGAGGGGAGCCAGTACATCATCTGACTAGGAAAGTCTCCCATTTTTTTAATTATCCAGACAAATATTTTTCTATGCATGCAGTATTTTGTGAATTTGCCATGGCTAATTTCCCTAAGACAGGTGACGAGATGCAACAATGGTCATCCCTAAGCAAGGAGGTGCAATTGCATCCTACACTTGCTATGATGTGAGAAGCTATTTCAAGGGTGCAAATTTGCTTGCAATTGAAATTGGCCCACGAGTGGGGACTATTGATGAAATTGCAATGTTTTCTCAAAATTATAGAAGTGGAAGTAGGGGACTACCTATGAAATTGCAAATGAATTTCATTGTGGGAGATTTTAATCCGCTTTTGATCTAAGCAGTTCCAATTAGGTCGAAGAATGTGTTACTTATTTAATCTTCATTTTTTAATGGTTTTCGAAAATTATGGTTTTATTTATATTTGGTCACAAGTATAGTGACGATGATAGGCGTGAATAGTATGGATATGGCTTGATTATAATGATTTTTTATCTATGGTGATTTTTTCCCCCTTTTTCATCAAGACTCATGCTTCTTTTATCCCCCTGTGAATCTATCATGCTTCGTTTATAGTAAAATATCCTTTTAATTATACACAATAAAGAATCCATTAATTATGTATGCCTTTTTATTGTATTTATTACTACAATGAATTCTCTGACTAAAAGGGGAGTGAAAACATCGTTGGTGGAAATTCAAGGAATGGAAGCCTTTCCATATCCTAGGAACATTAAATTAATTACATAAGAATTTTCTATCTGCCTTGTACGGGGTTTGGTCATTAATTATACTGATTGGGAGCCAATCAGTTGTACCTTTTGGGTTACCTATACATGAATGCAAATTAATTATACGATTGGGAGCCAATCAGTTTAACTATACATGATCCCAATTAAACCTCTCTACAAGATACAATGGCTTGAAGCCTTGAACAGAAGCAGCCTCACTCACAAGTTGGAAGCTGGAATTTTGGTGAAGTCCCTTTGCCATTTCCACGAAAAAACAAACCAAACCAAACCAAATATAGAAAGCATTCACAAAAACCAAAAACCAAATATAGAAAGCATTCACCAAACCAAAACCAAACATAAAAAGCATTCACCAAACCAAACCCAAAACCAAATATAAAAAGCATTCACCAAACCAAAAACCAAATATAAAAACCAAAAATAAAAAGCATTCACCGAACCAAATAAAAAACGGTTGTCCATCATCCTGAGAAAAAAAAAACATAACTGTTGTCCATCATCTTGCAAACTAAAACGAAAAATCAAGTTGTTCTTGGGCTCGTTGACTGGGTTTCCTTGTGCTCTTCTCTTTCCTTTTTCCTCCTTTCATGGGTTTTCTTGTACTCTTCCACTGCAGCCTCAACTTGAGGTGCAACTCTTCTTGCTTCCGTGACCACCATATGCCTTATGTAGTTCATGGGCTCTCGAACAAGGTACAAATCGATCTGCATCCTCCTCACTTGAGTGCATGGCTATCAACATCAACAAACATGGTGCTTACCGCATGATTCAAAAATAACAATCAATTGTGGTTTTCTAATATGCGAATTAGAATTGTCTTTACCCAAATATAAGAGGAGTCCCAGCTTGCGCCATACATCCACATGCATACCCAGACTCCACTGCCAGACCTACATAAAATAAAAGCATTGCGTGATAAGAACCAAGTTGATAAGTCGTCGTTTAATATCACAAAAAAATGGGCATACTTACCGATGAAGTTGTTCTTGATCCTTTGATTGATTTGGGTACGAAAACTCCGCAATCCTTGGTGGCGACAATCCCGGACCTTGTTCACGATAGAAAATCTTCCACAAGGCTTGCATAAATCTCATCTGTACAAATTAAGAAACTTTTGTACTTAGAAAGAGTTATTTACATTTTTTTGCGTTATAACGGCACAATGTCACAAATTTACCATTGTTTGAACAGATTGTAGTCGAAAGGAATTGCGGTCTTCATTTGGTTGTGGATCCAAGATATGGACTTCTTCCTTGTCCAACTTAATGACAGCCAAGGTGTCTGGCATGGATAAGGTTTTTCAAGTCACGTACGCAGTTGAACCCTTTGCAATGGAGTGTAGTTGTAATCACTAAAATTATATGGGAATACCATGCCGTCATATGATTTTTGTACTGAAAGAAGAGAGCATACTGGAACTTCCTGAAGGCCTAGTACGTCGAAGATGGTCAAAGAAGCCGAAGACACTAGAGAGCTTGGAGGAAGCAGACATAATAGATGAATCTCAACTTTTCGCATTAAGGTTTGCCATGACTATCACTTTTAATTTTTTTTTATATTGGTTCGAAGCTAGGTGAACATTAATTTTACTCACTTTGTATAAAATATTGTGTCAATCAGGTATGGTAGTATTCAACAACACAGCTTACAACTAATGTTAAAAGGGGCAAAATCTAGTGATTGCTTCAAGATTGCTCGTGAGGGAATTCAGTCATTATGTGAAAAGTTGGACATGGTGGACACTGGCAACGTGGACATACCCGGCATTAATAGACCGAAGGCGAATGAAATTTTGTTGGATCCATTACAGGTCAAAGCTAAAGGTTTGGGGGCTAAAAAATCTAAAAGGAAGAAAGGAGAACCACGACAGTGTAGCAATTGCGGTGAATGGCGCCACTATAGGACCCGATGCCCACATCCTGTTGGCTATGTGAAGCCAACCTCAAACGGTGATGCCCCGAATGATGGTGTTTCAGAAGAAGGTGGCGGTGGCGATTACACCGATGTTGATCCTCCCACCACTCAAGATCAGTCGGAAACAGTACCGAAGAGAAGGCAAAAGCATTGCAGTAAGTGCGGTTCTACCAATCATAATGCAAGAACGTGTACTGGGTCTGGGCCATCCAATGATAATCTTGAGAACTAGTTTTTTTATTCAATTATTATATCGTATTTTTTGCACTAATTTTGAGCACTCATTAAATGGGTAGAGCATGTGGCGACAGAGGAGCAGAGTTCGAAATCCGGCAAAAAATCCGGTTGCCCCAATCGTAAAGACTTCTAAAAATGGAGTTAGTAGTCAACAAATAAAGGACAGTATTTTTATTGGGAGTGTAGGATCCCCTGCAGATTTAGAAGATCTCAAACGCTAATAGTACAAAGTACAGTATTTTTATTGGGAGTGTAGGATCCCCTGCAGATTTAGAAGATCTCAAACGCTAATAGTACAATATTTTTATTGGGAGTAGAGGATCCCTCGCAGATTTAGAAGATCTCAAACACTTTTGGAAGCCGCCATGGAAGCGAAGAGAGAAGCAGAAGAAAAAATAACAAAACAGTATACAAATATAAACAAATGTTACATATAGTCCAACAAAAACAAAAAGCTGTACTTTCCCTCCCTATTTTATCCTATTATACATATGGCAACTTTCCCCTCTTGTATATATTTTCGGAGCATGATCAACAAGTACGCGTCAATATCGCACAAAAGAACCACCATATGACGTAGGGTTCCACAACACCTATTATGGAATCGTAACAACATATGATGATTCTTCCGGCGATATTCAGACGGCGACTTATTGTCATTGCTCCCCTCCCTGCCTCTGACAAAGACCATGCATGGAGAGAAAAGGAGAAACAATACAACGAAGGATTTAGTTTAACAGTCATGATCTAACAATGACATAATGAAAGGAAATGAGATCTAAAATAATAAGCAGTCTCATCATTACCACTGCACCCAAAAATAAAGCATGGGATAGGAGGACGAAGAGGCGGATGGGGTTGATTTTCAGAGTTTCATATTGAGAAGATGGAAGAAAAGGTTCTTTTCAGGGATTGAGAGGAGGAGGAACGAACAGCAGCAGGAGATGAGTGCCACTCGGGTTTCGGAGCACGGTCTCTCCTTCACTGATTAACGAATTTAAAGATTGACTCGTAATTACTTTTACTTTCCCTCCCTTCACATTTACTGAAAATTACACTCCCTACCACTGCCTCGGCCTTGGTAACGCCAGCATTGGTTATGGGCAAAAGCGACTTTCCGAATTCGGCAATATCTGATTGGGTGACACGCACGCGACAAGGATCGAAGGTACTTCACCATCGGATTAAGGGAAAAGTTTAGGAATTGACGGTGGGAAATGGGGATGTGCTTTTATAAATAGTCTGAATTTGTAGATTAACCAACTTTTTCGTTTACCAACATTACTCTATTGATCTGGTTTATGTTATTCTAACTTGAATCATAACCCTAAACCCTAAACCCTAAACCCTAAACCAAACCCTAATACACGAACCAATCAATACCATATACTCTACAACAATAACAACACCTTATAGGCTTATACCGTAACCAATCAATAACATATATACTTTAAACCATCAACACCTTGCTCCTCCCTTATACCATAACCTTCAAGACCTTATACTGTATACCAACAACACCTTCTTCTATCTCCATCCCCAACTTTCAATTTATAATAAGTGTTTCCTTTGAAATATAAAATGGAACCCACCTTGGCAATTGCTAGCATAATTTAGGGATGTAGATGAATAGAAACTGATAAGTGATGAATTGCTAAAATTGATGATGTGGCGGTAGGAACCTCGTTTAGAAATTGTTGTTCAATTTTAGGGATGAAGATGATCAATACACTAACCCAATACCATATACTCTAAACCATCAACACCTTATACAATATCGTATTTTAGGGATGGAGATGATCAATACACTAACCCAATACCATGTACTCTAAACCATCAACACCTTATACAATATCGTATACCTATACGCTGATAAATTAAAATTATAACTTGCTTTTCAAAACATAAATTAAAAATTGATACTCACTAAGTATCGAACCACAAACCTCTACTTTATTGACTAAGCAAATAACGGACAATTAACCAATTAAGCTACATCACATTGATGACCATTTTGCATAATTTCGCTTTCTTATTAAGTGAAGGGTTAAAATGAACGATAAATATATCACAGGGGATTGTTTTAACTTCGGCGGGGACTGAGAGAGTGGAAAAGGGGTAATTATTCTACCAAAAAAGAAAAGAAAAGGGGGAATTAACGAAGAGTTAAATTGGACGGATTGTCTTTAGCACGCCACTACCACCCAAAATCCTTCGGAGCAAAGACGTGTTGGTTCAAGTCAAAGAATAAATGAAGAAAGATGAATTTAAGAACTCTAACTAATTTTGATTCCATATGTGGCGAATCGCTAATGGGCGGGATAACCAACATGGCAAAATCGTTAATGAGAACCTACTTTGCACACACCAAAACATTTTATCGCGTACCGATAAATGTGTAAAGAGACACGCTACAATATTTATGTCTAAATTTGCTGATAATAAGGCATGATCAGCATTTATAAGAAGATGTTAAGACAATATAAAATCGAGAAAAATAAAACAACACCTACCCTCAGCCGAATCAATCAATACAATATGCTCTGGACCATCAACAATTCAACACCTTATAAACCATCCCATATACCATATACCATATACTCTAAACCATCAACAACCTAATACACTAACCAGTAAGTAATCATTAACTTAACCATAAACACCTTATACAATAATTGCATACCTATACGCTGATCAAATTTTACATTTTGAAAATACTTGCCCAAGTAAAGTACACAAGTACTTCAAAAGCGAAATTCTAACTTTCGTTTCAAAACATAAATTTAAAAAATGTCCTCACTAAGTATCTAACCACAAGCCTCTAATTAGTCTACAAGAGGTTTGTTATGTCAAGAGGGGCAAAGAGTGAGAGAGTGGAATAGGGGCAACTAATAAAGAGTTAAATTGGGCGGATTGTTTTTTACCTCGTACCGATAAATGTGTAAATAGACACGCTATACCGAATCCCAAAAAAAAGATGGAACACATAATTGTGTTTAAATTGCGTGAACGCAAGACATGATCAGGATTTAGAAGCAGAAGCAGACGCAGATGTAAATAAAAGCCCAACCTCTTCACAATCCGGATCATGTACACAAGCCCACTTTTGAAGGGAATTTAAAAGCCCAACTAGACTTTGTCCTTAACGCACCGTTAATACTAGGGCTGGTAAACGGTACAACGGTTATCGGATTAACCGTTTACCGAACCGGTAACCGGCGGTTATCGGTATAACCGGTAACCGGCGGTACCGGTATGCGGTAGCTAGTTTTAGGAAAACGGTTTACCGTTATATTCCCGGTTAAATACCGTCGGTATTCCGGTATACCGAGTTACCGAAACCCACACAATTTGTTCTCCTCTTCCCCTGCCTCACTAAGCTTTTTTCATCTCTCAATCTTCGATTCTCTCCTTCTCGATCCTTCCACCACGCATCTGTCAAGTAATCCTTCCACCACGCACCAGTCACCGATCCCTCGCCTATTGCTGCTTCTGTTTTGCAAGGACAGAGGGACGAGGGCGAGAGAGATGGGCCAATCCTTTCTTTTTCCCACATCCACAAAAACACAAAAAGAACAAAAATCAGAATCAAACAAAACAGAAGAACAGACCAAGAACAAACTGAAAAGGTACGTACCCTGAGTTCCTCATCGGTGGCTTTGGCATATCCACCGTCGGCGAGGCCAAGTCGCTGGAGACTGCTTCTCTATCTTTCTCCCCTCCATCGAACCCCAAAGATAACCCAACAACCAAAACGAGAAAATCAGAAACGTATTCAAACCAAAAATCCCCAAATAAACCACATGCAACCATTTCCATGGTTAGAATCCACTCACCGAGGTTGGCGACATCCCATCTTGCCGCCGGCGAGGCTCAAATAAAACCGGCGTTTCCCCTCCTCCCTCATGTGAGATAGAAATCCAAAACATAGAAACCAGATCAGCACCCTAAAACAACTAAATCAGTAAATCAAACCATCAAATATAACATGCAACCTAAAAGGAAAAGCTCACCTTCGTCATTCTCGTCGCTGGTGACCATCGGGTTACAATCATCGTCTATGTATCTTGCCGCCGAACTCTATGTTTGTCTCGACAAAGAGGAAACGAAAGGAGTTTTGGGCAAGTTTGTCTGGTTCGCAGAAGAGAGAGAGAGAGAGAGAGAGAGAGAGAGAGAGAGAAGGACGAGGAGATGGGATCTAGGAGGAAGGAGCAATTATTATTACTCTGTATCGTTGGTTTGCAAAGAGGAAGAAAGGATGCTCTGTTTCCTTGGATGCCGGTTCTAGAAGAAGATGGGTTTCTTCACTAGTGGGAGAAGGGGACTATATCCGGTACAGCGGTGTAACCGGGTTCTAACCGATAACCGGTTATCCGGTTACCGGTTTAATCGGTTCCTTTCTGGTATCGGTATCGGGCAGCACTTTAGGGGGAAACGGTATACCGATAACCGGCTAGTCGGTAACCGGTTAAACCGGTAACCGACCGATTACCACCCCTAGTTAATACATAAACACAAGTTAAGGCGACCTCTCCATCTGATTCGAATCAAATTCTGTCTTCTTCATCTTCTTCCTCAATTAGGTCGAAGACTGTGTTGCTTATTTCATCTTCAATTTGTGTAAATTCCAGTCGGAAATAAAATGGCGAAGAACAAAACGTCGATTGTGGATACAAGGAAACGATGATTATGTGGAGATTTTAGATTCCGGTCGGAAATAAAATGGCGAAGAACAAAACGTCGATTGTGGATACAAGGATTTGTGGTTCAAAATGATGATTATGTGGGGATTTTAGATTGAAAAGGGATCTTCTCTTCGAACGTGGATACATAGATTTGGGGTTCAAAACATGATGATGTTGGGGATTTGATATTGGATTGGGAGCTAAATCGAATGTCGATCAAATGATAAAAGGATTTGAGATTTAAGATTTCAGAAACGATGATAAAAGGATTATGTTCGAACTTCGAACTAAGAGGGGACGTCCCCTCCAAGACGAATGAGGGACTAGAAATTGGTTAGGGCGGCGGGTCGTATCCATAGGGTTTAACCTCTTAATCGATATAATTAAACCGGGTACAGTTAGGTTGAAGTCCAATGAACAACGGTTAAACGCTTCGTGATGCTTTTGGTAATTTTCCTTGCTCCCGGTTACCCGTACCCCGGATTTTGCTCTGAGCACCCTAGAACTGCCCATATATATATATATATATTGGATTTTGGTTTGTGTTTTTTTTTTTCAAATCGGCTAACTAACCAGTTTATCAGTGTCAATATTCCAAACTCATGTCAGTTCAAAGTATATATAGAGTTTTCTTACTTAAGCTACGTTAGACCCTACATTTTTCCTAGGCAAAATAGAACTCTCTGTATATATAGAAAATATAGCGTGCACCTTGCGTATATATGTTAAACACCGGCGTCACGGTTCACACTTATTGGATCTCCTTCATATGTTTCCATGTATCATAATATTTTGTTATTATTTTTGTATTAAATGAATCTCTTATTTTGTGATTTGAGTTGGAGAATTAGAGACTAAAGTGTACCCATTAAAGGTTAGGGTATAATATCAATTCATAGTCTGAAGGCAAAATACACTTGTAATTTTCGCGTTTGTATCAATAATAATAGCCAAATTTGACGAAATACCGCTTATAACCAGATTTTAAAATTGTTGGAGGACAAATATAGCCATTTCCGTCATACACTTTAACGGTGTTAATAACATTGTCAACTTATTTGACGGTTTGCTAACTAGGTGCCAAATCAGTGGATACGTCAGCACCAAATAAGCAGACAGTGACACGTCAGATATTTTAATTATTTAATATTTAATTACTACATTAAATTAAAAAACATAAAAAGATGAAAATGTCGTCTCTGAATCTCCTTACACTATCGATTATATTCCAAATCCCCCCAAAAAATATAATCAGCTCTAAAATCCCCAGTCCCAAACAAATGCATAACTTGCCCCTGCTGCATCTGTTATTCCCCACCATTGATTCATATCTCATATATAGCAGTCATTGCCATATCGATCGAGCTGGAAATTTATGAGGATGCAACCCTCTAAGAAACCCAGGAAGACAACAAAAATGGAGGATACCAGAAGAATATCAATACTTTGTCTCACGATCTTCCTTTTCTCCCTCCCCTGTGCCGAGTATCTACGTCAACTGCTATGCATTTGTTTGCCACCATTTTCATCGATTTCTGGAAGTAGATACACCGCGTTACCCAGAGAAATGGTTGTCTTCGAACCTAGTTCTGTAAAGATGCGTAGAGAATAGATGCGTGGAACCTAGTTTGAGATGCAAGATTTGAAGGGGTTCAACGAGGAATTGGAATCGGGGCTCAAAGAGCAGATTCAAGATCGATCGACGACCACAAAATCCCGTCAGTTTCATCATCTCCGGAAGGTGAAGAGGTGGGTGGTTCGAAAAGGATGAGGATAAGATCGTGAAGGGTCAAATGCTGGCTTTTTAATTTTTGGTACATTATTTTTTTCTTAATTAATAATTTTCCACGTGGACAATTACATACGCAAATGGAAATAAGAGCGTGCCACGTCAGCTGCTCCGTTTGTCCAGTCAGACTTTATGATATCAGTGTTAAAGAATTGGATGGAAATGACTATAAGTGGTATTTCGCCAAATTTGGCTATTATTGGCATAAACGTGAAAGTTTTGGCTATACAAGTGTATCGTACCTAATAGCCAGCCCGGATTTGGGCTTCGCAATTTGGCTATACAAGTGTATTGTGCCCATATACACAGACCCTCTTATCTGGTCTTTATTTGTTTTTTTACCTCAAATCTAAACCTAAATATGAGATTGCATTGTTTGCTATCTGGTCCCAATCCGGGTTATACGGTCCGGTTTCGGGTAAAACCAAACAGTCCGGGACCAAATAGCCAGCCCTACAACGTAGCCGAACTCGGCATCTAATGAGCCAAGCCCACGCAGCATAGTACGTAAACACCCAAGTCCAACCTACAACATAATACCCTCGAAAGTCGAAACTCCTACCTTCTCGTCGGCCTCTTCCATCCAAACGAGCATCCATCAATATATATATAAAAATCTATGATCTCTGTTAAAGTAAACTAATGGAAGAGAGTACGTGTATATGTGTTAATGCGATAATATATCCTATATAGAATTCAAACTTTGATTAGCTGACGAGACAGTCTATAGGTCTGACAAATATTCTCAACTCAAAAGAAACAAAAGGAAGAGGGTTTGTGTATCCGGGCTACGCAATTTGGCCTAAGGATTAACGACAAACTATAGCAGAAAGATTACGTACGAAAGCTAATTATTTACATTCCTGTTTCTCACGCAAAATCAAATTTGGAGTCTTAATTCCTGCCGCCCGGATTTGGCTGTGTATATAAACCTTGATCGACACCACTCTCCTTTGGGTATTAACTTACAAAGCTAAAACTCACAGTTCAAAAGCAGAAGCAAATTTTCCTCAACATATAAATTTGTAGCTATGGCTTCGAAAGCTTGTATTTTGTTGTTCGTGTTAGTCGCTGCTTGCCTTCTAGTCTGCAGTAGCTCTTCGGGGCTCCGACTTTCAGCAACCAAGTCATCACCGCTCCCTTCCACAGCTTCGGTTAAGGTTGACGGCGTCCATCAGGTGATTTCACGATCGGTGCATGCATGCGTTCTTTTTGACTTCCTGCCATGTTAATGAAAAAGTTGGAACTACGCAGCAGCTTGATATATATTGTTAATTATATGATTCATGTACGTAGTTAACCAGCCACACAAATATATCTAATCTAATCTAATCGTGTATTGGTTTTATATATAGGCGGCCAGTGACACCTCCCCGCCAGCACCGTTGTATTCGAATGTTGCGGGAGTAAACGGAGATGAAATTGATTGTGACGGTGAGAAACCTCAAAAAAAACAGCATGACGCACCATCTCCCGGGGACGACAACTAATACATAAATCTGATCAAACCAATACATATGGACACCAATCAAGATCGTCGTAGTTTCATGTGTCATACAAATATACTGAATTATGTGGACCTCATGTTTCATACGATTCACACTTCCCAAGCATTACAATATGTGTCGTAATAGCTAATCGTGTGACATATATACTTACTATAATAAAAAAGGGTATGCACAACCCAATTTTTCTCTTAATCTCAGTTCTTGCGGTTTGAATCATTTTCAAGTTGTAGTTTTCAATGTTGAATGAGTAGCAAACTCCTATCTTCCTTATTTAATTGCCAAGTCATTTTATCAATAAATTTGTTGAACAGAGAGATGAACTAACTCATATTTAACATATTACTCTCATACGCATAAACTAAATTAATAGCCCTTTAAACAAGAATTCACCACCTACCCCTTGCTTTCTAGAAAAAATATGACAAAAGAAAACCAACAACAAATGACGAAGCTAGAAGGGTTATAGACAAGCTCCACTAATAAATAATAATTGAAAGTGGCGGCAAATGTGAGGCTGAAGGATATGAGCTTTGACGACAACATAGTCATAGGGGTGGGATAGGACTTATATAGGGATGGGCAGGGTTGATGCATCGAGTGGGAGCCTACTAAGATGAAGTGGAAAAGTGGAAAATATGAGAATGTGAAAAAGTGGCGGTGAATTAGGGATGATAAATTCATAAAAGCAAAGACTGAAAGGATAACCGACTAGAAAACAAATAAGACTGCATCATTTTTCCCTTTTGTCCAAAAACTTGAACCAAAAACTTGAAGATGTCCAACTTATTATGGCAGTGGGAGCCTAGTAAGATGAAGTTTGATGCACGTTGCGGGAAACTAAGGGAAAGCAGGACTTTGGATATGGCATGTGGTTTTGGAGGCAGTGAAAATATGAGAATGTGGAAAAGTGGCGGTGAATTAGGGATGATAAATTCATAAAAGCAAAGACTGAAAGGATAACTCGACTAGAAAACAAATAAGACTGCATCATTTTTCCCTTTTGTCCAAAAACATGAACCAAACACTACCAAATATGATCCTCATACTCGGATATCATAAGCGTAGAGAAGCGGTCAAAAGCTAGCTTCTAAGGCTTTTACTTGGTTTCAGGGCTTTTACTTTGGCTTTTGATGCAAAAGGATTTTTGAACAAAAACTACAATATTTAGGGGTTTCAAAGCATAAAACGAAATGATTGGTAAAAGAGGAAGCGCCAAAGCAAAGCACAAAAGCGTAACATTTTAACATACAATAAATTTGAAAGAATTTTATATTTTTTTATTGAAAAATATAAACAAATAAGTGAACTAGCTAATATATTAATCTTTCCCCTCGCAAAAATAAACTAAATTAATTGAACTATAAATATGCATTAACCACCTTCATGATGCTTTCGAGAAAAATAAGAGAGGAGGAAACAAACAACAAATGTTGAATCTATGAGGGTTATTGATGTGATTCTAACCAGCATCAAACCCCGGGATGGAAGTGTCAATTCCCCTACCGGGGATATGGAAGGGGAGACCGGGGATTCGGTCCTAGAATTTTCCCCTGCCAGGACGGTAAATTACCCGACCGGGTATTTAGATTAGGTTTTGGGTCCTACCGATTTTTGTTTGTTTTTTCGTGTAAAATTCTTTTCACTATTGGTGTTTTCATTAGGTTTATTTTCCATACCTATTTAAAGGGTTGTACGCCACGAAATTTGGCAAACAATTGAGACTTTGATGAATAGAAAAACCCTTTTGGTTCTTCAGTGTTTACTCATAAATGTGAGTTTGGTGGATTCCAAACTCGTTGAGCTCTGTATCGATCAAGTATTAGCCTTGATCATTGTCGGGCATCTACCCTGATATTCTTCGAGCCTCTTCCCGTGTGTTGAAGTTGCACGACAATCATTTTCCATCCTATCCTTCTATTTTTGAGTTGTTTAGAGAAAATCCCAGAAAACTCTAAAAAGTGAGAGTTGCGCATTCTGATTCGTGAGAGAGTTCGGATTCCCGGGTTCCACTTACATCAGGTGGTATCAGAGTCCGCTTCAAACACAGCGGCGATTTGAGGTATTTTATTTCGTTTTTAGTGTTTAAACAAAAAAAAACGTGTACTGTTCACAGAGGAAATAAAAAAAGAGTTGAAAAAAATGTTCATTAGTCACAAAGCTGGACGTGGGTTGAAATATATATATATCTTGTATTTTGGTTTGTGTTTTTTTGGTTCAAAGCGGCGGCAAGAGACTGGCGAGGAAGACATCAAAGATGCAAACCATGTAGCTAAATGTTGAAGACGCTTTGAGACATCTATTAGCACAGATGGCTTATGTGCGAGTTATGCTTCTAACCATGGATGAAGAGAGTTCGAGTTCTCGGGTGCAACAAAGTTTGAGTTTTGAGGAGGAGGAGGAGGAGGAGGAGGAGGAGAAGGAGGCGAATCTGGAAGCAGAGAAATCATCGATTAACTGCCCAAAACCGCAGAAGGAAGATGGAGATTCCTACGAGCCAGTCGCGGTGGAAAAGGAGCAAATCGTTTATCACGATCCTTTTACGATTATGGTGATTTTTCTTGCAGAATCTCCCAAGCTTTGAGCTTTATCACTGCTAAACTAAGAACTACGACAACCGGATTTGCAGAATGGGAGCGAAGATTTTATGGAGGGAAACAGGGGTATAATGTGCAATTTTTGGTGGATGATTGTCTTTTCTGTCAGTGGAAGTACATGAAGAAGAGACAACAATTTTGCCTCCCCCAAATTGATGCTGGTCCTTAAGCATCAATTTCCTAAAGAGAAACCAATGACGACTTGTGGTCAAAAGACTTCGTGAGATGTGACGAAGCTGAATAACACTATCACGGACCAAGTCTCGAATATAATGAATGTGGACCTCTATGTGCTTCGGGCGGTTATGGAGAACCAAACTCTGATACCATGTTAAGAAACAAAATATGAACGACAAAAACTCAATTTTACGTGATATCCCTGAAAGGTTCAGGACTAATCCACGGGAGATCCTAAAGACCCTCCTAGCTATTGATAGTTATTGCTTGATGTTGAACAACGGTACAAAGAACAATATATATGGCCGACTCTCCTCATCCCCTTCGGATATCAACAAAGCCTACGTATACCCGGATTTCACTCTCGGTACCGTAGAACTCCCCATATGGTGGGTGCCTGCTACGGTACCCTGGATGAAATTCGGGGTACCGCATACCCTGAGTATGAAAACGCTATCTAGAACTCGAATTAGCAAGATTTTTGGGCATGATACTATAACCTAACCCTTAATGAGTGAACCCTAGGTTCGAATTATCTAAATCTAAACTATAAACCCCCAAAGATGGTGCATAAAATATAATATAATTATAAACCAACAATAATCTACATTACATATACTAATATAATTTGAAATCGGCTAATTATAATAATATAATTATACACCAACAATAACCGATATAATATATGATGAAGCGTTGCCCATGATGCAAGGATTTCCTTGTAGCTAGCAAGCGAGAGAACGCCGTTGGTGTCGATAAATCTTTAGTTGTATTATTCGCTAAATCTGACTAATGCCGAACTTACACTTATATAGTACGCAAACCCTACCAATAACCATACGTAGCCGAACTCGGCATCTAATGAGCCAAGCCCACGCAGCATAGTACGTAAACACCCAAGCCCAACCTACAACATCATACCCTCGAAAGTCGAAACTCCTACCTTCTCGTCGGCCTCTTCCATCCAAAGGAGCATCCATCAATATATATCTAAAAATCTATGATCTCTGTTAAAGTAAACTAATGGAAGAGAGTACGTGTATATGTGTTAATGCGATAATAATAATATATCCTATATAGAATTCAAACTTTGATTAGCTGACGAGATAGTCTATAGGTCTGACAAATATTCTCAACTCAAAAGAAACAAAAGGAAGAGGAAACAAAAGGAAGAGGGTTTGTGTATATGGGCTTCGCAATTTGGCCTAAGGATTAACGACAAACTATAGCAGAAAGGATTACGTACGAAAGCTAATTCTTTACATTCCTGTTTCTCACGCAAAATCAAATTTGGAGTCTTAATTCCTGCCGCCCGGATTTGGCTGTGTATATAAACCTTGATCGACACCACTCTCCTTTGGGTATTAACTTACAAAGCTAAAACTCACAGTTCAAAAGCACCGTTGTCTTCGAATGTTGCGGGAGTAAACGGAGATGAAATTGATTGTGACGGTGAGAAACCTCATTAAAAACAGCATGACGCACCATCTCCCGGGGACGACAACTAATACATAAATCTGATCAAACCAATACATATGGACACCAATCATGATCATCGTAGTTTCATGTGTCATACAATTCATGAAACTTTCCAAGCATTACAATATGTGTCGTAATAGCTAGTCGTGTGAGAGATATACTTACTATAATAAAAAGGGTATGCACAACCCAATTTTCCACTTAATCTCAGTTCTTGCGGTTCGAATCATTTTCAATTTGTAGTTTTCAATGTTGAATGAGTAGCAAACTCCTATCTTCCGTATTTAATTGCCAAGTCATTTTATCAATAAATTTGCTTAAAACATATTTATTTTTTGCTTGATTATGCTCGTGTACATGAAATAACACAATTGCATTGTTAATGAAAGATAAGAAATTTAATCTTAAGTCACACAAGAACAAGATTTTTTTTAATCGAACAGGTTCACGATATAATATTTAACTGTTTCACTCAATGTATATTGTTTTTTTTTTGGTGATATGGGTATCTCAGGTTGGTCTAACAATGATATTTTTGTATATAAAAGCAGGTTGAAAATTGTACATAGTGGTATGTATTTGAACTTTTGCATGCCGGAGAGATATTTTTTACACGAAATATAGTCGAAATTTTTATGTAAAAGTTACGCAATTCAGAATGACAAATGTTTTATAATCTGTTGAATATTATAAAAAAAACACAACACGGATAATTGCTCAATTCCATTAGGTTTTTACTTCAGAATGCAAATTTTTATGTGGAATGTGACATTAAGTTTTCCAAACCGATGACAACTGATTGCATTTGTGTTGCCATAAACTCAAAATTTTCAATATTTGGTTCAAATGAACAATTAGTTAGAAGTGAGCTAAAAATAGATCGTCTATCATTTATGATATGGTTTCTAAAATGATAGTCAAATGGGCTCAAATATTATTAATGCCTATCATAGCAGTACAATATCGTTATCGAAATAAAAATAAATAAATAAATATATATATATATATATACCTTTTTAATTTTATGAATATAGCTATCATTGAAATTAGCTTTTCTAGCTGTGCAATGTCAAAATTCTGCCAATACTAGTCCAATAACAAATACTCCAATTTATAAAAAGAACCCACAAAGTGACCATATAGAACCAAACAATTGATTCTCAGTCCACACTTCTACTAGCAATGTTCGAATGAGAACTAGGACCACGAACTTAATTTCCTTCCTTTGGCTACTATGTTGCTCTGTCAAACACCTTGTATCGACATGCCCTGCAACACAAGGAATTATCCTATGCAGATTTCTACTTGACCAACCAGAAAGATGCATAACTCATTCCGCTCGCGGGACAAATTCATAAATCTTGAATCTTGAACTCACAAAATGAGAGTGCAGCAAACTGAAAGTGTAAAGCCCAAAATCTGAACTCTGAAACTAGTCTCTTATATCCCTTGTCGAAATCGACTAATTTATTGACATGATATTGTTTGCTTAAGGTCAGTCCATACGGGTTTACTTTTGAGTTCGTTTCGAAAAGTCCTCATACTAACGGAGGTTGGTGAACAAATATATACATCGGTTCTTTCTATCGTGTTGGCAATGTGGTACTGGATTTATATCAAAGAGATTGATTTTTCGTCACAAGCTTCACATCGATTTAGCTATTTATTGGAAGCTATCTCTAGAGTCAACGTAGTAACAACCCTGTGTTTATCTCCACATTCTCCCCTACTATTCACCATCTAGATTACCTTCCATGTTACGTAGTTCTCGTCGTGTGAAAATCATGTATGAGAAAGCATTTGGCTAATCTGAAACTTAGTAAAACAACATCGGTCTCGGCTACATTATTTCACATGTATTAGAGTGACTCATTTGTAACCTTAAGTTTGCATGTGCTGGCAACCAATAAATAATTTCTAAATTCCCATACAAAAAATATTTCAAGGGCGTGCTTAAGCGAGTAGCTACTCCTAAGGATGAGAATGAAATCTATGGTCCTGGGTACTGTCACATGTGGCAGATGACATGATGCTAACAAGGTGACAAGATGGTGATGCACATGTGGTGTGTATGGAAGAGTAGAAGCATATAGATGCCTCTAGTATTCTCCTATCTTTTATGAGCTTTAGTGTGCACTTATTAGCCACATTATGGGTTATATTAAGAGAGTGCATTATGAGGGGTGATGACTCGATATTTGCACATGTTTTCCCTTTTGTTTCTTGATCGTTTAAGCTTGCATTATCGCTTCTTTGGCCTATTTTACGCTAGGTTGTGTTCCTTTGTCTCATTTTAGGTCCTAGCACATAAAGTGAAGCGTAGGCGCAAGTTTCAAGTCAATCGGAGATCATTTGGCGACTCGGGGGAAGAAACTCGGGTATGACTTGAAGAAGAATGGATTTCTACCTCAGCTTGTCACCATATAATCATGTAATATTATCTTGATAAGAAATAGGACGAGAATACGAGAGTCTGGGATCAAACGGCACCTGATTTGGAGTCCGAACGAGGGAGAAACGAAGAATCAAAGTTAGGGGAAAATTGGTTTCGAGCTTCTCTAAGAAACAGAAGGGGGCCCTGTCGTTATGCTAAAATCCCAGGTAGGGGATTCTTGGCCTTGACCGGGGATTTTCCCCTGTCTCCCGATGGTGCATTTCAACAATCCCCGGTCGCTACCTAAAATAACCGATAGGGGATTATGACCGGGGATCGCGAACGCAGGCTGTTAAAAGCATGTTTTGTGCGTTTTTGCAAGGGAGAGCTGGGTTTTGGATCCCAAACACCCAAGGGACGAAACAAAGAGAGAGAGGGAAATTTGAGGGCATTCTTGGAATGGAACTAGAGGATTTCTTTGCCTTGGAAGCTCGAGGAATATGCCCGGACTTGAAGACTGATCATCTGAAGATTCTTACTGCAGTCTCTCTATTCTCTATGGAGTAACTTCCCTTCACTTAGGTTTTGAGGAACCCTAGCTATGTTTGTTTGATTGGATGATTGTATGAGTACTCTGACTTGATAACCTTGAGTTCATATTCAATCTATGCATGTTTTCATGATTCAATTCTGCTTTAGTCGAGATTATTGATTCTGCTTTGATCCTATGAGAGCGAATACCTGATTAAGTCAATAGAGCACCATAGATTGATAGTAGTGGATCAATCGCTTTAGTCGAGGGTTGATTCAGTGCTTTGTATCGATTGAGGACCTCATTCGATAGAGGGAATCTAGTTCAGAACGCCTTGATCGGTTGTTCTAGAGAAGGATATGTCCCTCTAGTCAATTAACTCAAGAGGGCCTTGTTCCTTTAGTCGAGACTCAAGGTCTAATCAAGGATTCTCTGCATTGTGAATGAAAGTGAAACAAGTTAGAAATCATCAATCGTTAATCTGGCTAGTGGCTAGGGGGAATCATACCTAAGTGAGTTCCCAACCTGTAATTAGATTAACTTTGACTGTAGTTTGCTAGAGTAGTTTTAGTTCTTTCATCTTAATCTGGTTTGCTAAATAATAAACTGAAACTGAGTAATAGTAACTCTAGAGACCCGTGGATTCGATATTTATCACTTGAGCCACTATACTGCAGTCCCTTTCATTGGTTACACTTGGCCATTGTTAGGAGTTGTGTCATAGCGAGTCAAGTTTTTGGCGCCGTTGCCGGGGACTTACTAGAGTATTAGGAAAGGCAGAAGTTTGTTACTTTAGCGTTTTTCTTTTCTTTTCTTTTCTTTTCTTTTCTTTTCCACCCTTGCTTTTCACTTGGGTGTTTTTGTTTTTGTTGGTGCAGATCTGAATCCTGGATCCTCATGGCTTCTCCAACAATTGGGGGTATCCACCACCACCCGAGTGGGATTACCCCGAGACTCCCTGGAGCAATCAAAGAGGCGAAGACTATGGATTCGGGTTCTAGTACCAACCCCCTTACTACGGAGAACAACCGGATCCCTGGGCATATCAAGAACAACCTCATTACCAAGAAGAATTTCTCCCACAACCAGAAGGGCCATCGGCGCTGGAGTTACCCATGGCGGCCTTCACGGGCCATTCTGCAGAGCTATGCTACAGTCCACAGCCAGATCCAAACTATGAATTGAGGCTTCTCATGGAACATTTTGCTCGAGACAGTGAGAGAACATGCTCCAGGATGGATCATTGTGTCCAGGCCTATCGTGAAACAGAGGAGATCCTCCTGAGCCTTAAGAAGAGCGTCGATGATTTTGAGCGATCTTGTGCACAACCTGCTCCCGATCACCCTTCTGCTACCATACTAGAAGAGGAGGAGGAAGAATAAGGCTACAAGGACATTGTGGAGCACACTAATGATCAGGAATGTCCTGTCATAGCCGACCACACCTTCCCACATCCCAAACTGAGCTTTGAAGAGGCGGGCATGAGTGAGGAGATGCAAGAAGATATCATGAAAGAAATTGCTTGGCCGCTTGCTCTCCAATCCGTGCTAGAAGAAGAAGAGCAAGAAAGGGTGCAGAAAGAAGTTGTGGAGGATGACGAAAGTGAAGCAGAAGGAGTTCTTGATCATTTCCCAGGGGTGATACCACATGAAGAAGAAAGGGAGGTTGAAGAAGCAATTGGCGTCCAGGCTGAGGACGGAGTTAAGGTTGAAGAGGCCTGCACCGGCCATGAGTTACATGTGATATCTCCACTAGACTTCGAGGAACTGCTTAGCAAGGACCCATTTGCAGTGTCTCTTTGCCAGACCAAGGCCACATCAACATCGGTCCCTCTTGGTGGATGCGATGGTGGCCAATCGATGCTGTCATATATGGTTCTGGGCAATGAGACGAGAGAAGAGAGGAAGAGGTCTCGAGGGTGGAGACTTCATCTGCATCAAGTGCACGAGCTTTCATCACCTGTCATACCACATGCTCGTGACTTGAGACTCCACCACATTGACGAGAACCTCAACTTCAAGGAGGTTTTGGGGTGGACCGAAACTTAGGAGCCATCGTCCGGCTCACGACGTGAAAGAAGAGCTTGTTGGGAGGCAACCCAACCAGTCGGTTTGCATTTCTTTCCCTATTTCTCTTCGGTTGAGTCAGTTTTTTTCTTTGATTTTAGAGTCAATAAATCAACCTTTGTGAGATTTTATGTGGTCTTTGTGTTCTGACTACTCTCTCCTCTTGGAATGCACCGCCTGCCCCATCCACCATCATTCACCCTTGATATGGTAACTTCGTTCTACCCTCCTTATCTTTCCTCCATTGAGGACAATGTCGTGCTTAAGTGTGGGGGGATGTTCGATTATGTATGCGTGTGAATGTTTGACTGTTTGTGTGCTTGGAGCCTAGTCCACTGTCCAAATTTCGATTTGAGGGCTCCAAGTAAGTGTTCCTTGCAATTGACTGCTCAGTATGCTTTGAATTGACAGTCTCTATAGTAATGTGCAACCTAGGGAGGTAGTGTAGCACTATGGAGGATGTTGATGCATTTAAGAAGTCTCGTTTCTTCTTCATATTGTGTTGGTTGATTGTGTGAATTAGTGATCTTAGGACCCTTGAATTGTGTGGTGATGTGGACTCTCTACCTATCATGGACTCCTGTATCATGTTTTGAAATAAAAGGTGCTAAAAAATGTGCTTTAAAATAACGTCTCCCGTGCGAATAGGGCGAAAGTGTGTAAGGGGAGACAGGAATATGTTCCCAATTTCCACCTACTACCTCTAGCCCCCTTACATATCTTTCCCCCGCATGAGGCTCGAGACATCCTCTCCTGGCATGGCCGGTAAGAGCCGGGCTCCCGCAAAACCTCTACTAGTGGGAGCCCCCCATTTTTTTGAAGAACAGGTTGGAACCCTTGAAAAGAAAAAAAAAAAACAGAAAAACAGAAAAACAAGGGAAAACAAAGAAAGAAAAGGGGCTCCAACCATCTTCAAGAAGAAAATAGAGCACCTTAAAAATGCGAGTCCATGATCTTTTGTTTTTGAGAGTCCTTTCGTCCATGATTCATTTGTCCTCAGATCAACTATTTGCCATGATGCCGACTCGAGACTAGCGTTCTCGCCGAAGAAGCTATGAAATGACTTGTGCGTCGGTTGACCTCGTAAGCTGCTAAATGATCTAGAAAATTCTCTATCAACGATCGAGGGTGCATGTTGCTATAGAGTTCTGGAGAGCTGCATTGGTTTGAGCTAGGTTTGCTTGGGGACAAGCAAACGGTTAAGTGTGGGGAGATTTGATGACTCGATATTTGCACATGTTTTCCCTTTTGTTTCTTGATCGTTTAAGCTTGCATTATCGCTTCTTTGGCATATTTTATGCTAGGTTGTGTTCCTTTATCACATTTTAGGTCCTAGCACATAAAGAGAAGCGTAGGCGCAAGTTTCAAGTCAATCGGAGATCATTTGGCGACTGGGGGGAAGAAACTCGGGTATGACTTGAAGAAGAATATATTTCTACCTCATCTTGTGACCATATACTCATTTAATCTTGTCATGAGAAGAAATAGGACGAGACTACGAGCATCTGCGATCAAACGGCACCTGATTTGGAGTCCAAACGAGGGAGAAACGAAGAATCAAAGTTAGGGGGAAATTGGTTTCGGGCTTCTCTGAGAAACAGAAGGGGGCCCTGTAGTGATGTTAAAATCCCCGGTAGGGGATTCTTGGCCTTGACCGGGGATTTTCCCCAGTCTCCCGACGGTGCGTTTCAACAATCCCCGGTCGCCACCTAAAATACCCGACAGGGGATTATGACCGGGGATCGCGAACGCAGGCTGTTAAAAGCCTGTTTTGTGCGTTTTTTGCAAGGGAGAGCTGGGTTTTGGATCCCAAACACCCAAGGGACGAACCAAAGAGAGAGAGGGCGATTTGAGGGCATTCTTGGAGTGGAACTGGAGGATTTCTTTGCCTTGTAAGCTCGAGGAATAAGCCCGGACTTGAAGACTGATCATCTGAAGATTTTTACTGCAGTCTCTCTCTTCTCTATGGAGTAACTTCCCTTCACTTAGGTTTTGAGGAACCCTAGCTATGTTTGTTTGATTGGATGATTGTATGAGTACTCTGACTTGATAACCTTGAGTTCATATTCAATCTATGCATGTTTTCATGATTCAATTCTGCTTTAGTCGAGATTATTGATTCTGCTTTGATCCTATTAGAGCGAATACCTGATTAGGTCAATAGAGCACCATAGATTGATAGTAGTGGATCGATCGCTTTAGTCGAGGGTTGATTCACTGCTTTTTATCGATTGAGAACCTCATTCGATAGAGGGAATCTAGTTCAGAATGCCTTGATCGGTTGTTCTAGAGAAGGATATGTCCCTCTAAGCAATTGACTCAAGAGGGCCTTGTTCCTTTAGTCGAGACTCAAGGTCTAGTCAATGATTCTCCGCATTGTGAATGAAAGTGAAACAAGTTAGAAATCATCAATCGTTAATCTGGCTAGTGGCTAGGGTGAATCATACCTAAGTGAGTTCCCAACCTGTAATTAGATTAACTTTAACTGTAGTTTGTTAGAGTAGTTTTAGTTCTTTCATCTTAATCTGGTTTGCTAAATAATAAACTGAAGTTGAGTAATAGTAACTCTAGAGACCCATGGATTCGATATTTATCACTTGAGCCACTATACTGCAGTCCCTTTCATTGGTTACACTTGGTCATTGTTAGGAGTTGTGTCATAGCGAGTCAAGGGGACTTAGCCAATGTAGTAATGAGGAGAAGACCATTATGAGGGGCATTGATGCCTTGTATGTGGAGAGACCTATACAAGGACCCATCTCCCCTCATTTGTAATCATCCCATATTTTTTAGAGTAATATATTGAGAGAGTTCTCCCATCTTTTGTCTTCCTTGTCTTTCTTTGCTTGCTTGTGAGTTTGAGAGAAGGCTGCTTAGTTCTCTAACGGAATTGAGAGCTAAGGCCGCACGACCAAGAGTAAGGTCGTGACAAGTGGTATCATAACCTGGTTTGGCTTGGTGCTAGCAAAGAAGAAGAAAAGTCAAACGAAAAGGAGGAGCCTAACAAAACATTTCGGGATCAGAAGTCGATACTGGTGACAACAAGAAACCTGGAAGACATCCCATGAAGAGCTTGAGGCCAAAGGGGACTTCTAGCACTCGTGATCCTGTACATACTCTAGAGAAAACCGACTCTAAAGTGGATGTGAAGGTGGCTAAAGATGTCACCGAAGTTGAGGAGTTGGGAGCTAACTTCACCCAAATCCAAGGTGATATTCAAGATTTGGGGGCTCGATTGGCAAGCTTGGAGATCGGATATGAAGGGTTGCGTGAAGAGCTTGTGGCCCTCATCAACAACAGCATCTCTACCTCAATGAACAACGCAATTGAAGTAGGGAAGGAGACTGTTCAGGCCATCATGAAGGAGGAGATTGGAGACCTCAAGTGTGAGGTTACTCTTGTGAAGTGGGCCATGGCTAACGGACATGCCGCGGTGCAAGCCACCTCAACCATGGAGATTCCAAGACCAAAGTGCTTGAAAGGGTCGATGAATGCAAGGGAGTTAGGGAACTTCCTATGGAGCTTGGAGCAATACTTCAAAGCTTTGGGTATTCGAGATGAGAATACCAAGGTAAAAACTGCACCTCTTTATTTGAGTGATGTTGATATGTTGTGGTGGAGAAGAACCCAATGCGATATCAGTAAAGGGACGTGCGTGATGTTTTGATAGAATGAATATAGCTATCATTGAAATGAGCTTTTCTAGAGGCGCAATGTCAAAATTCTACCAATACTAGTCCAATAACAAATACTCTGATTTATAAAAAGAACCAACAAAGTGATCATATAAAACCAAACAATTGTTTCTCTGTCCACACTTCTACTAGCAATGTTCGAACGAGGACTAGGACCACGAACTTAATTTCCTTCCTTTGGCTACTATGTTGCTCCATCAAACACCTTGTATCGACATGCCCTGCAACACAAGGAATTATCCTATGCAGATTTCTACTTGACCAACCAGAAAGATGCATAACTCATTCTGCTCGCGGGACACATGCATAAATCTCGAACCTTGAACTCACAAAATGAGAGTGCAGCAAACTGAAAGTATAAAGCCCAAAATCCGAACTTTGAAACCAGTCTCTTATATCCCTTTTCGAAATCGACTAATTTATTGACATGATATTGTTTGCTTAAGGTCAGTCCATACGAGTTTACTTTTGAGTTTGTTTCGAAAAGTCTTCATACTAATGGAGGTTGGTGAACAAATATATACATAGGTTCTTTCTATCGTGTTGGCAATGTGGTACTGGATTTATACAAAAGAGATTGATTTTTCGTCACAAGCTTCACATCGTTTTATCTATTTATTGGAAGCTATCTCTAGAGTCAACGTAGTAACAACCCCGTGTTTATCTCCATATTCTCCCCTTCGATTCACCATCTAGGTTACCTTCCATGATTAAATGAATATTATACTTTGGATTAGTGAATTGTTGTTTACCCATAAAAATTCACCTTATACCACATCGGTTAAAAACAAGGAATTAAATGGCTTTATAAGGCCAACTTAACCATATCAGTTTAAATCAGTTGACTGGGCCATGGAGATTGGGTTTTTTGGGCCCATTACTCCGTGCCACCATGCGCGCCATGTATCTCCAAATTTGGCTAAGTATGGGAGCCACCCCCATGTGGCCATCATACCGCCACCCCCGAAGAGAAGGATAGCCACCCCCAGGAGGTACCAAGGGGGGTGGCCACCATCATACCACCCCCAAGACGTGGTAAGGGGGGTGGGCATCATACTGCCACCCCCAGGAGGTACCAAGGGGGTGGATACCATATTGCCACCCCCGTGACGTGGTAAGGGGGTGACTCAGGACGTAGTGAGGGGGTCATATTGCCAACCCCCATGGGGAGTGAAATACGATTAAGTATGGAGAAGGATGGGGGCCCCATGGTATGATCAGGGGGTGATCCTCATACAGGATATGACATGAGGGTGATCACCAAGGATGGCAAGGATAACCCCCTATGAGATGATCAGGGGGTGGCCATCAACACACCATGTGGTATGGTCAGGGCGTCACCAACGTACGCCCCCATGGTATGGCCAAGTGGCGTGGTCAACATCGCCCCCATGAGGTTTCCAGGGGGGGCTACCAAGGCACCACCCTCATGAGGTGGTCAAGGGGGGTCAGGTGGGCACGTGGTCTCCCTACTCCCGTAATGGTGAAGTATTTTTGCCATTTTTGACTCAAGTGATTTGAGTACCCACCCATACGTGGCACGTGGTATGCTTTCATGCCTTAGCCATTTTTTCTCTATAGACAAGCAAAGCTACGGAGGAGATACCAAGAGCATGGAGTGAGGTCTCAAGAGGAGAGGCCAAGATTGGGCTACATCCAACGTCAAGGTAACTGTCGAAGCAGTTGAGAGGGTAACCGCCACTCCACGTCACCAGAGCAGTTTCTTGGGGCAGTTACTTCTGGTGGCTATAAATAGGAGGTGAAGATGATAGAGATAGGGTTCGCCAAAATCACACCAGACAAACTATTGTCAAATTTTATCCTTTTATCTTTACCTTTCCTCTGCAAATGTAGCCATAGTTGTAGTTTTGGAGCTCTCACTGAACCTCCATAGGAGTAGAATTAATGTAATTTAGTTTGCCTCGTAGATCACCAAGAACATCGAACACCCTTGTTTGAACGTTGTTCAAAGAGGTGTGGACCGTGTTTGTTAATCGTTTGTTTGGAAGTCAAAAAGGTGCAAAATCCAATTCTGTTCATCTAGTTTTTCTCGCCGGGAAAACAAATTGGCACACCTGGTGGGACGCGTGTGTTCGATTTGATGGCTCCGAGGCGGAGGAATCAAGAAGGTGACGCTCCGGCTGGTTTTGTGGAGGAGCAAGTGGCCAACATTGAACATGGCCAAGTGTCAGAGGCGGTGGCCGGAAACAATGGTGGGGCGGAGATCCTACCAACAGCGACGCCTAGTGGAGATATTGGTGAAGCAGTGGGGGTCCTTCGTCAAATGATGGAGGAGAACCGCAAGCTGGTGGTAGAGAACCGTCAAGCCACAGAGGAGAACCGCCAAATGATGGTGGAGAACCGTCGCATGATGGAGGAGGCTAGAGCTGCTTTTCATCAGGTAAATTCTCAAATGGACTGTCTTAATTCTAGAGTTGATAGACATCTAAGTCAATTATTTGAAGTGGTTAATAAGAATAAAAGTGATTTTGATGAGTTCAGAAGGTTTTTAACCACACCAATAATGCAATCTAGAGCTCTTCCATTAGATGGCGGGAATCCAAATCCCATTAACAATGCTGTAAATTCTAGTTTATCTCCCGTCGGCGGCGGAAATGGTCAGCCACGGCAAGATAACCTCTTTCCGTCGATGACAAACCAACCAACTCCTCACCGCATGAATCGCGGCGAGATTCCTGCCACTTCTCAAGTGGAAGGGATACCCAATGTGGGAGTTGGAGAAATTCCCCCACGTGGTGAGAATTTGGGAGTTACACATTCTGCTCCAGTGGAACCGCCACCCATACCCATACCAGTGGCAAGGCCCTATACGGTGCCTGCTCACATGGGAGGGGGAGTAGGCTTAGGTGGGGGAGATCAAGTTCCTCCCAGAGCATACCCAACACCCATGCCACCCCATTTCAATGGGCATGGTATGGACCCCATGGGTTTCGTACCCCAAGGGGGGCAACCAGGGGGGCATGATCCCAACACTCTAAGGGATCAGGTGGCTCAACTTCTTGCCGAGCAATTTGGCATGGGAGTGAGACCCACCATGCCACCTGTTTATCGAAAACCATACCCTGAGTGGGTGGATAGACTCTACCCATTCCCAAGGGGGTTTAGAGTGCCAGAGTTTGCCACATACACTGGTACAGGGGACCAGTCTACTGTGTAGCACATTGGACGTTTTACTGTTCAGTGTGGGGATGTAGGAGATTTTATTAAGTTAAGAGTATTTGGAAACTCATTAACAGGACCTGCCTTTGCCTGGTATGTCAACTTGCCATCGAACTCCACCCAAACATGGAAGCAGATGGAGCAAATCTTCCATGCTCAGTTCTATAGATCTGAGCGTGAGGTTTCCATGGCTGATTTGGCGCGCATGCGCCAAGAGCCAGGGGAGTCGGTGGAGCATTTCTTGACAAACTTCAAGAATGCTCGTAACCGTTGTTTTGTCAACTTGACAGAGAGAGAGTTTGCCAAGTTAGCACAAGGGGGTTTGAGTTTTGAGTTAAGGAAGAAATTCCAAGATAGAGAATTCTCTGACTTGTTCCAACTCATGTCTTGTGCGGTGAGATATGAATCTCTTCTTCAAGAAGAGGAGAATAGGAGGAGTGCCTCAAGGGGGCAATACTTCCCCAACCTCGGCTACCCTGTTAACCATATTGGCCAAGAGGCCAATGAGGTAGAGGTAGACCTGGCAGAGTTAACTCCAGGGAAGCCATATGTATGTGCTCCTTTGGCTAAGATGGACAATGAACCACAAGGGGGTAGACCAAATCGCGCCCCTATCCAGCCAAGGAGGTATTCCTTCGATATCTCCAAAGCTGATTTGATTTTTGACCAACTCTACAAGGATGGTCAAATCAAGTTGACAGGGGGCATAGCATCCCACCCCCTGAGAAGTTAAGAGGGAAAACATATTGTAAGTGGCATAACAACATGCTACACTCCACAAACTCATGTGTGGTGTTTTGCAATATATTGCAGGATGCCATTGAGAAGGGTCGCATCAAGCTCCCCGAGCCAAAGAAAGATGATACCAACTCGTTTCCCAACGTGCTTGGTGTTAACATGGTTAATCCAGACTTCTCCAAGATTGAGCTTCCTCGTTTCAAACTGGTGTTAGATACAACACCGCAGCAAGGGATCCCCAAGGTAGTGGTTGAGCAGGGGAAGTCATCAAGGGGCAAGCAGGTCAACTCGGCCGCGTCTAAGGTGTCCAATGAGGTGGAGAAGCTATGTTCCCAATGCAAAAGGAATCTTAGACTTGATGAAGTGAAACCGAATCGACCATTCCAATAAAGAATTGGCCCACCCCATAGGCCGAGATACCCATCCTATCTAAGACAAGTAGAGGGGGTCATTCAACCGACATGGGGGCAAAGAAGGCAATGGGTGGCACATGACCCTCTTCCCATGAGAAGGACTTCCAAGTTGCCCAATGTGCCACAAGGAGGGGGGCATACTTATGATATGCATAGTCAACCAGTAGCTATTGGGGGGATGACAAGGACTCAAAGGAGGAGATTCCTACGTAAGAATGCTAAAGCACGAAAGGGGCAATACCCAGTAGCACCTGATGAGATAGTGGGGCCATCACAACAAAATGAGGATGGTCATGCTACTATTGAGGTGGACAACTCTATGGCCACGGGTCCCAAAGTAATAGTGTCTGACAAGGGCAAGCATGTCCAAGTCCAAAGTGATGGTAAGGGTCAGAAGGGAAAAAATGGTGAAGGTGGTGATTCAAAACTAGCTTGTGAAGAATCATCTCCTTTGAACAACCATGGCCATATGGTGTATGGTTGGCTTGTTTGGTTTAATACATCGACTTGGCAGTGGATGTATACCTTTGGCATTTTGGTTATTGCCAAAGGGTATGGAGATCAATGATGCTTGTAACTACTTATTATATACAATAAAAAAAAGAAAAAAAATATTAATTAATATAGAAAAGCCAATCATGGCTATATACATATTTAAAATCCCAAAGTGGCAAGTTTTAGAAGAAGTTAGTAGGTTTTGATGTGAGAATCTTGCCACGACTGGTAAGCCTCAATCATTACTCGTATTGTCAGGCCATTAAGGTGGCCTAACCATGCCAAACTTTAAAATTTTGTAAGGTGTGAACTATATACCCCATGACAAGACATGGAGGTGATGGTGAATGGCATGGGGTATGATTAGTAGTAGTTTGGATTAACTAGGTGGGCATGATGTTGTTCTAGCCCAATAACTTCAAAAGATACCGCAAAGGAGAAGAAATTGGGATTGTTTTCGTCATTTAAATTGTATGGCCAACTATTTGAGTTTGATGGC